TTATTTAATCCATTGCATTTTGTTATAATTTTCAAATGGTCGGGAAGGGATCGATTGTTTTACAATTACGGCGAATTGAATTTCTGTGTACCCGAGTCAAAGGTCGACAAGAGCATTACGTACATTCTTAAAATCAAGGCACAGGTTGTATAAGGGGCTCCGAAGAATTATCGGTCTGTGCTGCTACAGAAACTTTTTCTCTCTCCGAATTTCAGTTATTGAAGGAAGATATGGCTTGAATATCCGCTAATTTTTCTTCGAAAAGTTCTACTGTTTCTTCGAAAAGTTCTATTGTTATCTTGGACGTCATATCGCTAACAAGTACAAAATAGCAGTGGAAATAGAAAAAAAATCACGGAAGTCACTGTTTAATTATCCACTCTCAATTATTTTTAAAAAATAAAATTATCAACCAATATAACAGCGATATGATTTTTTTTAACCAGAGTGTATACAAAGCGACCTTTCACGCGGTACATGAAAGTGTTTGACGCGTGTCGAGGTAATTGTTTTCAAGACATGCAAACTCAGATTTTCAGGTAGCCCACGTAGCTGGCCCGTCAATCAAATCTGAAGCTATTGTTTTTTTAATGATTGACAGGCGGTATACTATTGATCTTGAATTAGGTAGATTTTGGGGGCGTTAACATAAAATTGGGTGTTTAAAGTTAGAATTAAAATAAGAAATTTAAAAAAATTGAAATAAATTTGGAAAAACAAAAAAATAGAAAAAAGAAAATTAACTGCACGGCTGTATATATAAATACTGGAAAACACATAAACTGATTGGTAACTTGCAACACATTCAAGTTATGTAGCTCTTATATTAAACAGAAATGATATCAAAATCTCTCCATCACAGTCTCCACTCTCTCTCCATACTCCCTCACCCCAACTGCCACCCCATTCTGTCTCTCTCCCCCACTCACCCATTCTCCCCATCCGCTCTCTGTCTCCCAACTCACTCTCTCCCTACTCAGTCATTCTCTCCTACCACTATCTCCCCACTCAGTCTTTCCTGCACTCTTTCTTTCTTTACTCTCTCCCTTCCTTCTCGCCCCCACTCTCCCCTCTACCCTCATTCTCTCTCTCCCTAATCTCCCACCTCTCTCCCTCTCTCTTTATTTTTTTTCTTGTCTGTCTAACTCAGTTACTCTAACGCATTATGAAATAAACTATATATAAGCATAATACATAGATGTTTTGTAGTTTATTTATATAAAAAATAATAGGAAAAATACTTATTCTATAACAAATAGAAAATTCTTATTGTTATTTTAAAGAAATTATAGAATGCTTATTCTTGATATTTTTACTTTAAAATGGATTTAGCAGAATTGTTTATTTATGCAAAAAATGAAAGTAATTTAAAATTATAAGGGCGATAACTTTACACAACAGAAAGTACTGTTTCCCAGCAATCAGATCATTGCGTGGTCTGTTTGAGTACTTAAGAGGGCTGGGTGGTCGTGGCCATTTTTAGACTATATTGGTCTCCTTTAGAAGAAGAGCTCCATATAAAGATATACAAAAATGATCGAATTTTAAAACTAAAATGTATGAATTTTTTCTTTGCCAAATGATAGTTGACAGCTTAAGATATCATATCTAAAAAAATAAGTTATATCTGATGGTTAATTTGTTGACCCCCCAGCCTCCTTAATGAAGAAGAATTTTATATGCTTGAAGAAAAAATACTTATATGTTTACTAACATGCAGGAAAATGATATGTCAGCTTGAAATCTCAGTTGGATATTATTTGTTGTACCGTTGTGAAAAGTATCTAATTCATCCGCATGCTGAGTGGAGGTCTGTAAAATATTCTTTATTTGACCAAGTATGTAATAAGGGTTTGACATTCACTATCCCTTTCCCTTGTATGCATTCAGTTTACTTAAATTTTATATTTTATAATATTTGTCTTTGTCCTGTTTAGATATCGTGTCGTTGCGTTGAATGTTAGCCAAAATGCATTTGCAGCATGACTCCCTCGTTGTTCTACGCATCACCCGGTATGTCATATTTTCTCATTGCATATGGATGTTCGTTTGGTGCTTTATTCAAATGCGTACTGTTAATAAAACCTACATGTAACCTTTACTTGTATGGTTCTACTCTACTAACCATAGACTTCCAATTAACACTTTTGAATGGATAAAGTGTAGTGTAAAATGATTTACCGTTTGGCCATCAGTGTAATTTGAGTAAATGTTCACCTTATACATGTAACAGGCCTTAGCCATGCTTCTGGGAAATTAAATTACAATCATTCCATTAAGCAGTAATGCCATTCAATAAAAAAAAGAGAGAGCCATGCAAAATGTGTGATTAAAATTGTTACAAGGTTGCCTCTGTCGCGCATAGCCCCTCTTCAAGCCATGTAACATTATAGAGATAAAGTTTGTAAATCTTTAAAATGAGTTTAAAACAATCTGCATTACAACAATGCACATATATTATGCATTATGTAAATAAGAGGATTTTCGGTGAAATTAAGGAAAAAGATTTCTTTTCACTTTTATTCTAAAACCCCTTTTATATTTTTAAACCTCGTATCAGACAGCAAGAACACTTAATTTGTTTAAAGGAAACAGGCCCGTAGGAAGCAATTTCATGGGGGTGGGGGTGGAGGGCACAACCATACATTTTCAGTTGGGTGAGGGCACTATCAACTACCAAAAATTACTTAGACAAGATAAAAAAATAAAAAAATGAAAAAAGGTCACCAGATGTTATTATTGAGGGGCACAAGCATATACTACCTTTGTTTTCTATAGTATTCTACACATCGTGCCCCCCCCCCCCCCTCCGGTTCCTGCGGCCGTGGGAAAGGCGTACATAGCCAGAAGGGAATTTTTTTCCTATAGGCTACTTGTTAATACGTTCTATTTCCATTAGTGAACTCTTCAAAATTAGAGGCGCGTTTGGTCGTCTGACTGGGACAGCATGTGTTGCGGATAATACAAAACACGCCAATCTCGATCCAATCTTAAATGTTAAATGTATTTGTCATTCCAATTAAAGAATAGAAGAACTAAAAGACATATGTAAGAGAGCGAGAACCCTATATTTATCATCCATTAATAAAAAATGCCATATTTCCGAGGCATGTGTATTGTATTTAGATGTACCATACGATAAATAGATACATTACGATCAACAATAGATATAAATTGATATCGTTGTCATTCCTAGTCTTGATGTATATAAAGTCCACAACAATGAAATATTTCATTTGTGATTTTCTGTGGATTTGTTCATCGCCAGTCAACATATTGTTCACATGTTTACGTTACGTTTGTCCCTGAAATCCCGCGAGATTTGTACATTTACCGACTTTTTCACAAAAGAGCGCACTAAGAAGTATAACTCTTCCATAGTGGAAATAGAACGTATTTAAAGAGTGGGTTACAACCCCGTAACCCCCTCCCTTCAAAACTATAGATACGCTCATACGAATATCATGTTGTAAATTTTGAATTTATTGGGGGGGGGGGGTAAATGCAAAATTTACAACATGATAACTAAATTTTGAATTTACTAGGGGGAGTTAAATACAAAATTTACAACATGATAACTAAATTTTGAATTTACTAGGGGGGGGGGGGGTAAATGCAAAATTTACAACATGATAACTAAATTTTGAATTTACAAGGGGGAAGTTAATTCAAAATTTACAACATGATACGAATGTCGCATGGTACTTGATTCTAACACAATTTGTGTACAATACTATTTTGTATACAGTTCTATATTTATTGCACACGCAACTTCAAATATGCTAATATTACCAATCATACTCAAGAAAAAATTAATATGTAAATTAGACTGAGAAGTTTTCTTTTAAATAATGAAACATTCGTTTTTTTCTATTGGTACAAATTTTTACATATGTAACTAGAAAGGAGAAAGACAAAACTACCGTGTATAGACTTGTGTCAATTCCGTTGGTATACCAAACACCTCTTTTTTTAAGCTATCAATTTTTTTGATTTAAAAAACCTCATTTTGTTAAAGACTTTGTTGACACTAGCAAACGATAAAATTAAAGACATTGGTTAAGATTTTGAGCTAATCACTTTTTGTTTCCCTGATATCGAAGGTCAGAGGCATATTGGTTTAGTTTTTCACAAATGTAATCGTCCCTTTATTTTTATGAGAAGAAGTTTGAGACTTTATTCATAGAAAATCGAAGATATTCACGAGATCCAATTTTCTTATCAATTTTCCATTTTTTTTTTCACGCAAATCTATTTGGGTAGAGTTCCAAAACGTTAACCTTTCTTATAACTTTTAAAGAAAAAAAGATTACATTTTTATTTGTTGCACATTATTTTCCCAGAGTAAAATCAAAGAGGATCACAATTATGGAAGCTATACATTTTTTTTCCCATTTTTATGTTTCTCTTTCTTTCACCAAATAAGAAAACGATCTTGATTTTTTAAATAATTACAAATGTGGAAACTTATTTTATTAAATGTGATAAAATAAATCAAAGAATACAGTGCGTACATGTATTCTTGCACTAATAGTGATAGAACATCATTATAGCCTTGTTATGTTTTCCTTTAATGGAGAAAAAACATTTTGTATCATTAATGTAAAGTATAGTATAACCTTTTAAGAAATGAAGATTCCATATCATAAGGCTGTGTGATAACCCTTATGTATTTGCCTAATAAGAATTTTCCTACCAAAAACTATGCATTTTTTTTTTTTTGGTATCAAAAAATGACACTGGGTCGTTATTTTACAGGGAGAAAAATGACCCAAAGGCCATATATAATTTCTACAAAAGTGGGTCATTTTTCTACGTAGAATATTGACCAGGCGGTAAAATTTCTACGTAGAAAAATAATACCTGGTCAGTATTCTACGGGGGTCACTTTTCGGCGTTACACCTGCCTGCCGCCGCATTCATTTTAGAAAATGTTATGAAAGTAAAATTTTGACACTATCCCTAAATTAAACTTTCGGAACTTCTCTCTCAAATGAAAAGCTCCGAGGATATCGATGAAGAGTGCGCCATCTGTTGTCAAAAGAGAAAACATGGAGTGAGTAAATGAATGAATGCATGGAGAATAAATAGTCAAAGCGGTGTACAATGCTTAAAGCAGGGTAGTGGAGTTGTAAGGAATGCCAGGGTGGCGCCCCGATTGTTTGCGCAGCTCCGACAAACATCCAGGTGAGGTGACAGGACACTGTTTACATCAGCCATGTTGACTCAACATGGCGGGGGAATTTAGTTTGAAAAAAAAAGTTGCAAAAAGTTTTACTCACTTTTGACTTTTTGATGTGTATGTTGTTTTAAATGATATGCATGTTTCAGTTACACTAAAAAGCATGTAGATGGTGTAATTTTTTTCTTTCAGTGCTGCGGTATAGATCTTCTTCAAATGCTAGTCAACTCTACACAGAGAAAGGAGGTATATAATCATTACTGTCTGTGAGAGTTTTTGTGTAGGAATCCACATTCCTGTGTATGAAGCTTTATCAAAACATTTTTAAGTGTTAAGCATACCAAAGATAAAAAGTGTTTACCAGCTTATTAATAGTGTAAAATGGGTTATTTTTCATAGGCGCTTGGTTTCTGGAGGGTGTATTTTGTGTATTATGTATTTTTCTGGGTGTGTCTGCATACACTCACTTAAATAAAAATCGCTGAATTTAGTACATTTTAAAAATGTAATATTACTGTATATAAAAAGAGTGAAGGTGTGACAGTTGCCATCTTGGATTTCAGGGAGTGCTTCAGTTCACACTTGATTTTATCTGTATCTACACTTTTCCTACCAGTGTCTGGTGAGATCAAGCTTCAAAAAGTTTGAAATGATTGAGTATCGCACTTCCAGCATCTGCTGATTTAAACTTACAGTGTAAAACTTGCAGTAAACCAAAACGTCCTTGATCAGGTTGGGACCAATTGCCTAAATGGGATATAATATCCCAAAAGGGATATAAATTCACAGTGCAAAAAATGAAAATTTTCATTTTGGCTATAAATATCATAAATCCGCATCAGAATTCTTAAAAAGGAATAACTTTTAGAATACAAGTTTTTCTGCAACCCTACAGTTTGTTTTGTTTCCAAGAAGTTTAGGAACTTCCGAGGGATCAATCTCATAAACAGTGGGCATACAGAAAAACTTGTAAACCAAAAGTTATTCCTTTATAAGTATGTTGATGCGGATTTATGATATAGCCAAAATAAAAATTTTCATTTTTTGCATTGTAAATTTATATCCCGTTTTGGGATATATCCCAAACGGGCTATTATACCCCATTTGGGCGATTGGTCCCAACCTGTTGATACCAAGCACTGAAACTGAGAGCAATGGAAGTGATGATTTCTAACTATATTATATGTAAAATGTAGAGGAAATTACACTGAAAGCCTAGAGAAGTCAGAAACCGTGCCAAACTTGTTCTCTCTATACTTTCTATTATTTACCAAGGATTTTACCTTTATGTTACTGTTTCTTCCAGTATAAATAAATCTTTTTTTCAAAAATGGGAGTTTTTCAATGAAGTCAAAACAATCCGATGTTGAGAGGGTGTATTCACCTACTTGTCTGTGATTTCTTCTCTGTTAAAATTTTTTAATCATGCAAATTTACCAAAAAGATAATTACAGATTAAGGTTTGAATGTATTCATACAAGAAGAAATTTGGAGGTTATTCATTGAAAATGTATTTGTGTTGTTGATAAAGATAAAATTTTATAACAGAATGACAATTTCTTACTTTATAAGCTGATCAGAGAGGGACAGCTTTTGTAGAGCTACATAAGAAGGCTGGTAGTGGACTAGGCTTGATTGTATCAGGTAAATCAAATTAATTTGTTTTATTCATAAGGATGAAATTAATGTAATCATTAATGACTTTATACAACATATCTTATATCTATTGATATTTTTTTTCCTTTTTAAAAATCTTATGACTATTAGTACACGTAATTTCATTTTTGTGGTCCTTTATTTAAAATATTTTGCCATTTCACTATACATGGAGAGGTTCTGATGTTAAACTATTCATCTGAGAGAAAGGAATGGGGGGAGGGATAGGAAGGGGAGGGTTGGGGTCATCTTGTGTTCAAACTGATACAACCCTTGCAGAGGAATATCAAAAATATGAAAGAAAAGTATGAGAAATGTATATACCTGCATGTACATATATATATTTTCAACAAACAGGTGGGACAGATAAGGAAAGCAGGGCCCACATATCCAGTTTTAGACCAGGGGGTTTAGCACACAGGTAAAATTTTTTTTTGCCATAGTTGAAGGAAAAAAAGTCTTGCAGAGGAACCGAAGTTGAGGCCTCTGGCTTATGGTGTTGGTGCTATAGCTATCCTCAGTGTTGAGCATGTATTGAGTGGTTATGATAATTGGGCACCAGTGATCTGATTATTTGTTATTTAAAGAATGTTTTTCAGTTTTGTGTGAGTTATTAGTGTGTAAATCACTCAGACTTGTTACGGTGGCATATTTCATGAAGCGTGCAAGCACTTCATGAAAAGTATGCCTATATGCAAGTCTGTGTTATTTACACACCAATATTTCACACTTAACTTAAAAACATTCTTTACATTTATATTTTACATGTTTAAAAGCAGCAAAAATACACTCAGTGATTGAATTTCTCACTGCCCTATATGTTTTATTTTTAAAACGTCTCTCTAACCTCATTATGATGTCAATTTAGCGTGAGTTTCTCCATGTATATTTTTACACGTGAGTATACATAAAAATGACATTCAAATCAATTTCTTAGTTGATCTAGTAGAAAAACACAGCAAATGTAAATATTCATAAACAATTCCTACAAATGTCCTACGTAACAAAAGTATATGGAAATGAATAAACCATTTTGTGAAAAACATAATTATTTTCCTGAATTAGCTGATCAGATGCGCATAGGCATTGTGCATTAAAACTGAAATACCTATGTCGCAAATACAGACCAGAATGCCATCACAGAGTATAGTATTTGCTATTGTAATGATTATTTCACACAGTCTGAATTCTTTGATCAGATTAAAGTGTCAGGATTCTTCATTAATCTAATAAGCCAGTGAGAGTGACTGATTCTGATCCTATACATCTGTCAGTGTGTGTGAGTGACAGCTGACCCCGGACTGCTGAGGGGTTAAATCAGTAAGAGCTTAAACCTAATGATGCTGACCAGACCAGCATTAGTGTCAACTGACATTATTGATTAATGACTAAAGATAAACTGTATATTGATCAGGGGGTTAAAAATTTTACTTCAGCAGGAGTGGGCAATTTAAATTTAAAAGCAAGGGCTTTTTCCATATTTGGCATTGGGAGGACCAAATTTTGAAGGATCCAGAAATAAAAAGAATTCTGTTTTATTTCCTGTTTTTCACTAGTTTACTTTCTTTTTCAAATTCATTTATGATGAAGATAATTAAATATCATATGGATAAAAATCTTAAATATTGATAAGTCATAGAGATTAAAAAATATCAACCCTTACTTTATCAAAAACTTGATTTTTATCATAAAAAGAAATGTGTTTTGATCTTGCAGAATTTCCCTTTTTGACTGCACTTATTAAGATATAATCTAATAATGTAGATAATAGAAAAACTTGAGGCCATCATTAAAAATTATTTTGTTTAATGAACTCAGACCTTTTTTTCATGGTAGGTAATTAGGTTTTTTTTTAAATTATCTTAAACATTGATAAATGTTATGGAAATCACAGAACTACGTATTTATTCCTCTATGATTCTTACCTAAACTTCATTGATGTAGTTTAGATATTTTTAAATTGCAGCAAAATTTTTTTTAAAATGTATAGAACCTAGCAATGCTGACGATCTATATTTTCCAAAAAATGAAAAAAAAAGTACTAAAGAAAAATGATCAGGTAGGGACAATTTTGAAGGGTGAGTCAGATTACATCTATGGCTGGCCTGGGTTGAATTCTTTTACTACTTGATAGGTCTGATGCTCTGCTAGAGGGAGACTTCATTGTGTCTGTGAATGGGATCAAAACACGAGACATGAAACATGATGAAGTTATCAACTTGCTCAAAAACACAGGAGAGCAAGTACTACTGGAGGTGGAATATCAGCTGCCTGATACAGGTAATATATCACTGAACTGACAAAGGTGTTATATAAGTGAACTGATACAAGTACTATTTAAGTGAATTGGATTGAGGTTAATATTGATAATCCAAGATAGGTGAATTGATTAAAGTAATAATTTACATTAGTGCAAATGTACTACATTGTATCACTATCCTTATCATTATTTATACAGAGCTTCCAACCCTTATGATTTTGTCGTAAGGCTTACAGATTTAACTTATAACATATGCCTTATGATTTCTCTATCATTATTCCGATGTCAGTTTTCCTCAGTAAAAATTTAAAATTACAAGATACCATTGCTATCCTTGTTTCAATTTGCACTTAAACTTACAAAAGGTTATAAAACTTACAGCACTTATTTCTATTGTCTTTCCATTTCCATGCAAACTTTCGATCTATGTCATTTTTTGTATAAACATATTGGAAAAAAAATCCATTCACAAAAAGTGTCAGGCAGCGCTTGGACCCCATGGCTCCCTCCTTACAAAATTTTCAGTAAACTGAACTGGAACTCACAACATAGACATGATAGACACATTTATTTGTAAAAAAGACATATATACTTGATAAAATACTGGCTAATTTGTAAAAATAAAGTAGAAATATGGGAGAGGGAGATACATGTACATATATTTTTTTAATTATGAAGAGTTTAATTTTTAGTAATAATGTATGACATGTATGAACCATTTGACCACTTCTCCCACTTCATTGTATTTGAGTGGCTGTAGTATTTCATATTTTATAGTAGTGTCAGAAATGTAAATTGCATTATATTTTTCCAGGGTTCTCAGACTCCTTTTCTGTCTGCTGTAAGCAACACATTGTAAACTTGGTGAGAGAAGGAAAAAGCTTTGGCTTTACTATCCGGGGAGGTTACCATGAACAACAACATAAGACACGCCCACTCATCGTCACTCAAGTGCGACCAGGTGGACCAGCTGATAGGTGAGATGATTTGGAAAAGTTAACTGTTTGAAATACCCGGTACTGTTTTTAGCTCACCTGAGCTGAAAGCTCAAGTGAGCTTTTCTGATCACCTATTGTCCGTCATCCGTCTCTGTTCGTCAACTTTTCACATTTTCAACTCCTTCTCAAGAACCACTGGGCCAATTTTAACTAATATTAGTACAAAGCATCCTTGGGTGAAGGGGAGTTTGAATTGTTAACACGAAGGGCCAAACACCCTTACAGGGGGAGATAATTAAGAAGAACAGACAAAAATAGGGTGGGGTCATTAAAAAATCTTTTTCTCAAGAACCACTGGGCCAGAAAAGCTGAAACTTAAGTGGAAGCATCCTGGGGAAGTGTAGATGCTATATTGTTCAAATCATGACCTCCTGGGGTAGGGTGGGGCCACCGTAGGTATTACTAGGGGGGAAATTTTGTGAAGAATAGCAGGGCCAAAGTTACTCAACCCATGGGCCTCTTGTTTTTTTATTTCCTACATAGTGTTAGAATGAAATGCTTAATAACTTTAATAAAAGAGAGAAATATGCTACTGGAATATGAAATGCTTAATAACTTTAATAAAAGAGAGAAATATTCTACTGGAATATTTTAATTAAAGCTGCATACATTTTAATAATTCATCAAGCAGAATACATGTATGTTGTACAAATGAAAGCATTCATGAATGTTTATGAATAACGTAAATAAAAAGAAGACTCATTTAGCAAGCAGGTATGTAAAAAATTAGAAAATTAATGATAATTTTCAAGGAAACCATGCTGTAATTATATGATTCCTCATTTTTTTTCATTAATTTTTTTCAGGGAGGGTTCTTTGAAGATTGGAGACAGAATCATAGCCATCAATGACTACAACGTTGCCCACTTCTCCCTGTCTGAGGCCTCTGTGTTTCTACAGCAGTGTGGGAGAGAAGTCAGTTTACTGGTGGAATATGACGTCTCTTTCATGGGTAAGAATTGCAGAAATCAGTCCACATGGGCTATCAATCATGCAACTCTTTCTTTCTTGTATGTATGTATATTGTATTACATACACGTATATTTGAAAATATACAGGTGTTTACAATGTACTTTCTTTTTGCCCTATGAGGGCCCTTAATTGGTAAATAAAGAAATTGAATTGAATTGAATCAATTGTGCAAAGTTAACTCCACAATGAAATTGAAAAGTTTCGAAAATGCCTCTTTTTTTAATCAAGGAATTTACTCACTTTCAGACTGTATAATTTGAAACCAAGGGGACATTTAGTCAGAATTTAATTTGTAAATCATTGGACCAAGTAAAATTTTAAGGGATATGATGGATGGTCAGACAAACATAAAATGGACACAATTCTTTTGGTCTATGAGGAACATGCCCATCTTTTCTGAATTCTGGTCACGAACAAATTCTTTTTATACATGAATCAGACACTCTTTTTTCAGAGGCTGTAAACAATGCCCAGGGTCCACTGTTGATTGAGATTGACAAACTGCCAGGAATGAAGCTAGGGGTACATCTGACACAGACCACACATCAGGGGAAACCCTGTCTATGTATAGATCATATTGATCCCATGAGTATAGCAGACAGGTGAGGAGGAAAAATCTACCTGGATATTGAAATTTTTCCTTGAACTACCTTGATTGATCTAAGAAATTTTTGATATGTATAAGAGTAAGAATTTTCATTACATAGGAAATTATTGGACCACAGAGAAATACTATTGTACAAGTACATGTATGTTTATATGTTTGTACTGTTGACTGGAAAATTAAGATGATGGTTTTAATTTCACTTTGTACAACGATGTTCCATTTCTCCACATATTGTCATATATACAGTTTATGTATGTGCATTGTCACAGGGATCAATCATATCACATGAAATTAAATTAATCCCAATGGATAAGTTAGGAACAAATCAGAACATTTCAGCATTGGAATTCAATGACTTTAATTAATTAAGCACATTATGGATTTTACATACATGTACATGTGTATAGCAAGATTGTGAAATTTTTACAGGTGTGGAGCTCTCCACATTGGTGACCACATCACATCAATAGACGGGACAAGTGTGGACCAGATGTCAGTGGCAGAGGCCACTCGTCTGATAGAGACGCACACACAGGACACCATCAAACTGGAACTCCTGCCCCACAGACTGGTAGAGAGGCAACAGTCCAGGGATTATATCAACAGGAACGGACTTCTCAAGGCACCAGGTAGAGAGCACAGAGCTCATAATGGATTGCTTTGTCTAAGAGACCATGTAAATGTAGTTTTTTATTCCTCAACCTTTAATTTAGCCCATTAAAAATGAGAAACTGATTCAATATCTTAACCTTTATACAATGTTTTTGCATGCTTTGATACAGCAGGGTTCGACATTAACCTTAGTCCGTTAGTCTCAGTCTAATACATTTTCATTCGGACCAATAAAATCTGTGGCTAATTAGTCCGAATGGACTAATAAAAATTTCTGGAAAAAAATCAATAAATTATGGATGTTCAATTCTCGACAACTTTCATAGGAAAACCCCGCATGTATTTTTAGCTTTCTAGCTTCTTGGCGGGAAGTTAGGAAATTCCGAGTCAATTTGGCGCTTAATTTTAGGACTGATTAGTATGAAATTAAACATTTTAGCGATCATGATCTAGTATGACACATAAAGAAAGATGTCGGACGTTTGAATGTAATGTATAGAGAAAAACAAACGAGATCAGGAATATGATCGTAGTTCCTGATTTCAGTGAGATTTCAATGAATCTTGGAATAAAATATTTCATGCTTTGTTTATTTCAAAAAATTATAAAAAGTACATAGCAATATTTAATTTTAAATTAACTGTTACAAAACATAAATGTTTTTTTTTTTTTGACGGACCCATAAAATTGCGTGTGGACTAGTAAAAGTAAAGAAGGACTAGTCTGGCCGGACTAAAGCCTAAAAATGTTAGTGTCGAACCCTGGATACAGTATGTATCATTTTGCAGGTAAATGTTATAACCTAGTCTATCTCACCCTTCTTTTGACATATATTCTGTATTCATTATCCATATTAGATTATTATTTTTGTAACGAAGCATTTTGTTAAAAAATATATGATAATTTGAATTATGCTTATAGTGTAGATAACTTTTGTGTCCAGGGATTTACCAGCCTATTTTGGGAAACGCCATTTTTTGGGAATTGGGAAAAAAAAATTATCGACTTTTTGTTGAAATTGGGAAAAATTTAAAATGTTGCTTAAATCATGTATTCGGGTGTAATTCATTTAACATTTCAGCATGAACTCTAATTTGGGCAACCAAACAGACAATTAAATCATGATCCAACATCATACAAGATCAATTATGAATAATAGACTAATACAAGTAAAATTGACTTCAAAGAGTATAAAGTGTTTATACAACTTAAGGTAGTACATGTGTGTATGAGATTCCAATTTAGGTCATTATAGAATCTGATTATAAACCTCCAGCAAAAATTATAAGAAGTACACATTTTCTCAAAGTCCTCTTTTAATATGTATTATTATGCATTGAAAATATATTTTTCTGTTTGAAATAATGCCTGCAGTCCTAACCATTCACTCATAGATCAATTGAGTAGGTAGAAATAACTTAATAAATCTATATAATAACACAATACCACCATTTTCAGAAAAACGGAGGAAATTCGGATTAAAAGTTGGCGATGTTTTTACAGTGTTTTTAAACACGTGTTATGACTGCAGCTTTGCTAAACGAGTTAAATAGATGAAAATTACAGACATTGTGACAATTTTACTTAGTGTTTTTCCAAGATAATTAAATTTAAAAGCATTGTTCACCAATTGGGAAAAAAATATTGCCAAATTGGGAAAAAATGAACTTATTTTCAATTGGGAATGGGGCCGAATTTCGACCCCTGAGAAGGTACTGATGAATTCCTGGTGTCAAATTTATTTTCCTTTTCATGCATGAATATATTCTGTTGCAAGTAACAGGACATACACTGTAGTTACTTTCAATTTCATTTTGTCATGGGCTTTTGTCATAATAAGGTTGCCTCCCCAGCATGGCCCCTGCCTCCTCAGTCCCTGCTCTTCCATCCTCTGCCTCCACTCCCTACGGATTTGGCAGCAGTAATGCTCTGTCGTCTGCTCCATTTGGGAATGGTATGATGAGGATGTCAGGGAGAAGCAGACGAATTTTACACAGGATTGACCCTAAACAGGCATCGTGTAGTAAGTTTGAAAAAAAGGGGGAAAATTGGTACAGGTCTTGGTAGAAATGCATCTTTATTAGAAGAAAAATTCTTGAAGATTGAAGATTGAAACAAAAGTTTTCTGCTGTAAAATGATAATTTCAGGTTTTTGTCAGTACTGTAATAGATGCCTCCTAATACAGGTTATATAGATCTAATCTGTTTGTACAAAGGAAAAGGTCTAAGTTTTAAAACAAGTGTATTGTGCATATTTCTTTAAAAATTGTAAAGTATCCCTACCTTTTATTGTGATCACCATTACAAAAAGGAATTTGCATGGTTCAACATGTATTTGTTATGTATAGAAACAAGTTCAGTAGATGCACTGAGTATTTCCAAGCATGAAAAATTGAAATTAAAACATAATAAAGGAATAAAAGGAATCTTGGCCACACACTTTTTAGCTCACTTGAGCTGAAAGCTCAAGTGAGCTTTTCTGATCACATTTTGTCCGGCGTCCGTCTGTCTGTCCGTCTGTCTGTCTGTCCGTCTGTCTGTCTGTAAACTTTTCACATTTTCGACTTCTTCTCAAGAACCACTGGGCCAATTTCAACCAAACTTGCCACAAAGTATCCTTGGGTAAAGGGGATTCAAGTTTGTTCAAATGAAGGGCCACGCCCTCTTTCAAGGGGAGATAATTAGGAATTAGTGAAAAAATAATGGCAACATTTAAAAATCTTCTTCTCAAGAACCATACGGCCAGGAAAGATGAAACTCATGTGGAAGCATCCTCAAGTAGTGTACATTCAAGTTTGTTCAAATCATGACCCCCGGGGGTAGGGCGGGGCCACAATGGAGGATCAAAGTTTTACATAGAAATATATAGGAAAAATCTTTAAAAATCTTCTTCTCAAGAACAGCAAAGCCATGATGAGTCATATTTATATGGAAGCATCCTCAGGTAGTGTAGATTCAAGTTTGTTCAAATCATGACCCCCGGGGGTAGGGCGGGGCCACAATGGAGGATCAAAGTTTTACATAGAAATATATAGGAAAAATCTTTAAAAATCTTCTTCTCAAGAACAGCAAAGTCATGATGGGTCATATTTATATGGGAGCATCCTCAGGTAGTGTAGATTCAAGTTTGTTCAAACCATGACCCCCGGGGAGTAGGGCGGGGCCACAATGGAGGATCCAAGTTTTACATAGAAATATATAGGAAAAATCTTTAAAAATCTTCTTCTCAAGAACAGCATAGTCATGATGAGTAATATTTATATGGAAGCATCTTCGGGTAGTGTAGATTCAAGTTTGTTAAAATCATGACCCTAGGGGGTAGGGCGGGGCCACAATGGAGGATCAAAGTTTTACATAGAAATATATAGGAAAAATCTTTAAAAATCTTCTTCTCAAGAACAGCATAGTCATGATGAGTAATATTTATATGGAAACATCCACAAGTAGTGTAGATTCAAATTCATTCAAATCATGACCCCCAGGGGTAGGGCGTGGCCACAATGGAGGATCAAAGTTTTACATAGAAATATTTAGGAAAAATCTTTAAAAATCTTCATCTCAAGAACAGCAAAGTCATGATGAGTAATATTTATATGGAAACATCCACAGGTAGTGTAGATTCAAATTTATTCAAATCATGACCCCCAGGGGTAGGGCGGGGCCACAATGGAGGATCAAAGTTTTACATAGAAATATTTAGGAAAAATCTTTAAAAATCTTCTTCTCAAGAACAGCAAAGTCATGATGAGTAATATTTATATGGAAGCATCTTCGGGTAGTGTAGATTCAAGTTTGTTAAAATCATGACCCCAGGGGTAGGGCGGGGCCACAATGGAGGATCAAAGTTTTACATAAAAATATTTAGGAAAAATCTTTAAAAATCTTCTTCTCAAGAACAGCAAAGCCATGATGGGTCATATTTATATGGGAGCATCATCAGGAAGTGTAGAATCAAGTTTGTTCAAACAATGACCCCCGGGGGTAGGGCGGGGCCACAATGGAGGATCAAAGTTTTACATAGAAATTTATAGGGAAAATCTTTAAAAATCTTCTTCTCAAGAACAGCAAAGTCATGATGAGTAATATTTATATGGAAACATCCACAGGTAGTGTAGATTCAAATTTATTCAAATCATGACCCCCAGGGGTAGGGCGGGGCCACAATGGAGGATCAAAGTTTTACATAGAAATATTTAGGAAAAATCTTTAAAAATCTTCTTCTCAAGAACAGCAAAGCCATGATGGGTCATATTTATATGGAAGCATCCTCAGGTAGTGTCGATTCAAGTTTGTACAAACTATGACCCCCGAGGGTAGGGCGTGGCCACAATGGAGGATCAAAGTTTTACATAGAAATATTTAGGAAAAATCTTTAAAAATCTTCTTATCAAGAACCACAAAGTCATGATGAGTCATATTTATATGGAAGCGTCCTCAGGTAGTGTAGATTCAAGTTTGTTCAAATCATGACCCCCAGGGGTAGGGCGGGGCCACAATGGAGGATCAAAGTTTTATATAGAAATAATATATAGGAAAAATCTTTAAAAATCTTCTTCTCAAGAAAAGCAAAGCCATGATGAGTCATATTTATATGGAAGCGTTCTCAGGTAGTGTAGATTCAAGTTTGTTCAAATCATGACCACCGGGGGTAGGGCAGGGCTGCAATGGACTATCAAAGTTGTACATAGAAATATATAGGAAAAATCTTCTTCCCAGGAACAGCAAAGCCCAGATTGTTCATATTTATATGGAAACATCCACAGGTAGTGTAGATTCAAATTTATTCAAATCATGACCCCCGGGGGTAGGGCGGGGCCACAATGGAGGATCAAGGTTTTACATAGAAATGTATAGGAAAAATTTTAAAAATCTTCTTCTCAGAAACAGCAAAGCCCTGATTGATCATATTTATATGGAAGCATCCTCAGGTAGTGTAGATTCTATTTTGTTCAAATCATGACCCCCGTGGGTAGGATGGGGCCACAATGGAGGATCAAAGTCTTAAGTAGAAATATTTAGGGAAATATCTTCTTCTGAAGAACTGCAAACCATGATTAGTCATTTTGATATGGAAGCATCCTCAGGTAGTGTAGATTCAATTTTGTTCAAATGGTGACCCCCAGGGGTTGGATGGGGCCCATTGGGGGATCGAAAGTTTTACATAAGAACATATAGAGAAAATATTTCTTCTCAAGTACAGGAAAGCTATGTTTAGTCATATTGATATGGAAGCATCCTCAGGTAGTGTAGATTCAAGTTCAAATGATGACCCCTGAGAGAGGGAGGAGCCACAATGGAGGATCAAATTTTTACAAAGGAATATATGGGAAAATTTTTTAAAAATCTTTACAAGTACAATAAAGCCATTTGTTATATTGACATGGAAGCATCATCAGGTAGTTTAAAATTCAAGCCCCCCCCCCTCCCCCCCAAACCCCAGGTAATCTTTTCAATACTGAACTGATTTGTGCTTTTGCCTAGCCAATGTACTCAGGTGAGCGATGTGGCCCATGGGCCTCTTGTTGATTTGATTGCATGACTGAGCAAGTTCTCTTTAGACACAGTCATTTTTAGCTCACCTGAGCCGAAGGCTCAAGTGAGCTTTTCTGATCACTTTATGTCCGGCGTCCGTCTGTCAGTCTGTCCGTCTGTCTGTCTGTCTGTCTGTAAACTTTTAACATTTTCGACTTCTTCTCAAGAACCACTGGGCCAATTTCAACCAAACTTGCCACAAAGTATCCTTGGATGAAGGGGATTCAAGTTTGTTAAAATGAAGGGCCACGCCCTTTTTCAAGGGGAGATAATAAAGAATTAGTGAAAAATTAATAGCATCTTTTAAAAATCTTCTTCTCAAGAACCACAGGGCCAGGAAAGATGAAACTCAAGGGGAAGCATCCTCAGGTAGTGTAGATTCAAGTTTGTTCAAATCATGACCCCCGGGGATAGGGCGGGGCCACAATGGAGGATCCAAGTTTTACATAGAAATATATAGGAAAAACCTTTAAAAATCTTCTTCTCAAGAACAGCAAAGCCATGATGAGTCATATTTATATGAAAGCATCCTCAGGTAGTGTAGATTCAAGTTTGTTCAAATCATGACCCCCGGGGGTAGGGCGGGGCCACAATGGAGGATCAAAGTTTTACATAGAAATATATAGGAAAAAACCTTTAAAAATCTTCTTCTCAAGAACAGCAAAGACATGTTGAGTCATATTTATATGGAAGCATCCTCAGGTAGTGTAGATTCAAGTTTGTTCAAATCATGACCCCTGGGGATAGGGCGGGGCCACAATGGAGGATCAAAGTTTTACATGGAAATACATAGGAAAAACCTTTAAAAATCTTCTTCTCAAGAACAGCAAAGCCATGATGAGTCATATTTTTTTGGAAGCATCCTCAGATAGTGTAGATTCAAGTTTGTTCAAATCATGACTCCCCGGGGGTAGGGCGGGGCCATGATTGACTATCAAAGTTTTACATAGAAATATTTAGGAAAAATTTTTAAAATCTTCTCAGGAACAGCAAAGCCCTGATTGATCATATTTATGTGGAAGCATCCTCAGGTAGTGTAGATTTTATTTTGTTCAAATCATGACCCCCGGGGGTAGGGTGGGGCCACAATGGAGGATCAAAGTCTTAAATAGAAATATATAGGATAGTATCTTGGAAGCATCCTCAGGTAGTGTAGATTCAAATTTGTTCAAATGATGACCCCTGGGATAGGGAGGAGCCACAATGGGGGATAAAATTTTTACAAAGGAATATATTTTTTTTGAACATCTCAAGTACAAGAAAGCCCCCCCCCCCCCCCCCCCCCCCCCCCCCCCCCCGGTGGTAATCTTTTCAATACTGAACTCGTGCTTTTGCCTAGCCAATGTGCTCAGGTGAGCATGTGGCCCATGGGCCTCTTGTTGACATTCTAGGGTAGTTGTTTTTTGAGTCACTCTAGAGCATGTCCATGTTGCAAATGACACTTCTTCATATAAATAAGTTTTCTCACGTGTACCACCAGGTTGTCTCTTAAAAGCCTGATCATGAGCAGAATATTATATTTCTTTTTTGTATATTTCAGTGTCCATTTCGTCAGCTGCTACATCTGTTGTCATTAGTAACCAGATCTGTCATGTGGACACAGTGGAGGTGTCTCTTTGTGGGGACCACAAGGGGATTGGTCTGACAGTGGATGGGGGCCCACCAGAGGGCATCACAGTGTGTTTTATACATCCTGGGAGTGCTGCAGAGAGGTGAGAAATGAAGAAGGGTGGGGAAAATATTAGGCAATGTACATGAAATGATATAATAATAGCTGGATGTGATGTGGAGACTTTTTTTGTTTTTTTTAAAATTAATGTATTTTAATACTGTGCATTCTGTAATTTTGTGATGGAAGTCAGACAAGGTTTTTACTCTTACATGTACATACATGTGTATATTATCAATCCTCATTGATGATTTTAATTTCAATCTGCCTTATTATCTTATGACTAGAGGTTATTGTATTTGACAGGTGTGGTGTAATTCAGGAGGGCGATCGAGTGGTGGGCATTAACAACATTGAAATAACCAACCAATCAGCAGAGGAGGTGAATCAGCTGATTAGAGAACACAGGCACCGATGTGACCTCACCATTGAATATGATGTCGCAGGTTAGAATGGGGCACAGCTTTGATGCATTTAAATATTTTATGTCTGGTGTATTTTTGGAGATGTATGGTGAAACTTCTCAAAACTGGCTGCCTGCCAGACCAGACAACATGACCAGATTAGAGGGTTGCTGGTTTTGTGAGGTTTTCAAAGATGTAGCCATTTTATAAGGAGCTATGTCTTTTGCCACTTAATATATATACCTGTCACTTTATATATATACATGTATATTTTTATATGTATATAATATATAACTACAAATTGAAGTTTATTACTTTTAGTAAAATTATTTTGATTATTTACATTTATTTAGTTGTATAAGGAAATTTTTCAACATTTTCAAAGCATAAATGTGCAATGACAAGCTAGAAAACGATATTTACGTTGAATTTCTGCATTCTAAAAATGCACATTGAAATTACAAGTACTTATTGATATGTAAGGTTGATTAAATAAATATTATCAGTACAGAAAAGGTGTAATATTATTTTCAATCAAAATGTAGTAAATGCCTCTTTGCAAAAATGTTTCTTATTAAGGACAGATGATACAAACGAAAAAAAAATGGATGCCTGGATTGGTATATATTTTTGGACCTATTTTGGTTGTAAGTGATGCAAATATCAAATTTCTAAAATATGAAGAAATTGTAAACTTTCTATGATGTTCAAAATACTACCTTTCTGCAAGCACCCTTATAAATCTTTTCAAATTTTTATCCCTATATAGTATATTATTATGAAAATTTGAATGAAAAATTAAAATCTATGCTGTTAAACTTTTTCAAATTACTTACATTAACATGATTAAAGTTGTTATTATCATAGTTTTTAAGAAAAGTGTGTATTATCTCTCCTAAAGTTTACTTTCTTTACTTAATATTATGAATCAGTTATAAGAATTATGATCGTATTGATGTTAACATTTGTGTTCAACGGTATATAACAGGAAAAATTTATATAGTGAGTTCATGCATGTAATAGTCATACTATTTTTTTCACCCAGTTCTTAAAAGCAATTAATTATTGACTAGATGTAACCAGTTGTGGATATACATGTTCATCATTGGTATCACCTTATTTCAGAGTCAGTGATGCCCAGTTCTGGTGTTTTTGTTGTCAAGCTTCCAAATCATCCCAGAAATCTGGGCCTCACCATTAAAAGTAAGTGTTCTTAATAATCAAAGCATGGATAGTTCCCCAACACAACACCTTGATTTGGAATGTTAACATAAAGAGCAAAAATAAGAAGCAATACTTTTAAATTTCCTCATTTTGTTGTTTTGATGACAGTTGTATATATCTTTACAGCAATCAGAAGAGAATTAATCATTACTTCAGTGAAGAAAGGCAGTGTTTCTTACAGGTAACTAAGAGTTTTCTATTCCATTTCATCTTTAAGCAGTTGAACCCAGTTATTTCAAATTGTTGTGTATTTAGATTTAAAGATTAATAGGTCAGAATTCTGTTCTTACTAGGTGTGGCTCTGTACAGCCCGGTGACAGGCTACTGGCTATTAATGACATCAGAACGGAGGGTCTGACTGTGGAGGATGCCATTCACCTCCTACAGACTCCAGAGGACATAATCAAACTGAAACTGAGGAGAGAAGAACACCCTAATGGTAGGTTTTGGAAAGGGCCAACATGGATATCACAATCAGGAGCTGTTTTCAAGTAAAACAGTGTACAGCAGTCTTTGTGACCTAACTAATCTCATGATCAGTGATTTCATTAGAGTGAGATAAATACATGTACTAGTATTTGGTGTCTCCATCTTTTATAGATATTTCAGTTTTCCTTGAGTCCTGTACTACATTTATCTACATCTACATGTAGATAAAATGTGGAACATTTATATTGTAGATGTGTATTGATGTGTCAGTGACATGTTTTCTATGTGTGTGGTGTATATACAATAGTAAATTAGAGTATCTTTGAGTCTGTCATATATGCAAGTAATGATTCTGTAGTGTGTACATTTTGAGCTGGTGTATTTTGTAATGAGAATTTTGATGAATCAGGGGTATATTTTGTAGACGAGAGTTGTGATGAGTCTGTGGTGTATACGGTGGAGCTGCACCGCCGTGGTGGACCATTAGGAATCACAATCTCGGGGACAGATAGTCCAGGTGACCCCATCATCATCTCTGATATCATTAAAGGAGGACTGGCTGAAAAGTAAGCAAATCTTCCTCATATAAAACTGCGTTTAAATGTTGAAAAATATAGATATTGGGAAGGGAAAAATATTAATTTCACAAAGAAAAACAGGTTTGATACATACATGTAAAATGCTGCTTTTCATTATTGAAGGTCCTTCGGGTTCAATGATCCCCTGACTATTTTAGGGAAAAGCCTATGCTTATTTTGGGCCTCTAACTTGTATAGTCATCATCATCATCATTGTCCTTTACACCCTGTGGTGTGTAGGGCAGCTTGTATATTGTAGTTAACACAAATCAGACAGCTTGTATTTCATCCCCTTCTCTCTACTTTTAGCACACATTTATCAAATGATCATGAATGTAAGAGAAGCTCACAAAGAAGAAATGTATCAAACAGTATAGATGTACCTATTAAAATATCCTCCAACTTTTCATAATAGAACTGGTGCCATACATATTGGAGACCTTCTGTTGGCCATCAATGGAGAAATCATGAAAGGAAGGACACTAACTGAGGCCACAGAAATGTTACAGAATACTGAAGATCTTGTCACACTGAAGATAGCTCGACCTATTGAGGCCAACAGTAAGTATGGCACAGTGAAGATCTTGTCACACTGAAGATAGCTCGACCTATTGAGGCCAACACTAAGTATAGCATGATGAAGATCTTGTCACACTGAAGATAGCTCGTCCTATTGAGGCCAACAGTGAGTATAGCATGGTGAAGATCTTATCACACTGAAGATAGCTCGACCTATTGAGGCCAACAGTAGGTATAGCACGGGGAAGATCTTGTCACACTGAAGATAGCTCGTCCTATTGAGGCCAACAGTAAGTATAGCACGGTGAAGATCTTGTCACACTGAAGATAGCTCGACCTATTGAGGCCAACAGTAGGTATAGCACGGGGAAGATCTTGTCACACTGAAGATAGCTCGTCCTATTGAGGCCAACAGTAAGTATAGCATGATGAAGATCTTGTTACACTGAAGATAGCTCGACCTACTGGGGCCAACAGTAAGAATGGCATGATGAAGATCTTGTCACACTGAAGATAGCTCGACCTATTGAGGCTAAGAGTAAATATAGCATGATGAAGATCTTGTCACACTGAAGATAGCTCATCCTATCGAGGTCAACAGTAAGTATTGCATGATGAAGATCTTGTCACACTGAAGATAGCTCGACTTATTGAGGCTAACAGTAAGTATTGCATGATGAAGATCTTGTCACACTGAAGATAGCTCGACTTATTGAGGCTAACAGTAAGTGTAGCGTGATGAAGATCTTGTCACACTGAAGATAGCTCGACCTATTGACGCTGGCAGTAAGTATAGCATGATGAAGATCTTGTCACACTGAAGATAGCTCGGCCTATTGAGGCCAACAGTAAGTATGGCATGATGAAGATCTTGTTACACTGAAGATAGCTCGGCCTATTGAGGCCAACAGTAAGTATGGCATGATGAAGATCTTTTCATACATTTAAGATGGCATACATAACGAGGGACAATTTTTATCTCTTGCAGCAGCATTTTTTTAAAATACTGTGAAACAATGTGCATGTAAATAAGGCAGAGTATTGGTTTAATTTATTCCCCCCCCCCCGAGAAAAAAAAAGACTCAGTGTATGCTTTCTTGTCAGCATTTGCAAACAATTCTGAAGAGTTGCTTACTATCAAAGACCAAAAAAGCAAATAATGCATCAATTTAATTTACTTTAACACTATGATTTCAGTTTTACATGTGTTAAAGGAGGAGTGTATGTCCTGGTCGAAATAGCTTACATTAGATGCATATTATAGTAATTATTTGTATGTTAAAGTACTGTAATGGTCATGTTTCATGAATTTGTTTACAGGATCAAGACAGAGAAAAGGGGGTCATTTTGTAAGTAGAGAAATGTCGATAATTCAGAACAAACTCCCTATTATTCATCTTTCTGCAAAATAGAAGTTTGTTTCACCGAGGATTACCTATGTGTCATTTCTTATGTTTATATTTATAGAGTGATCGATCCACAACACCAGCAGCAAGTATAGACAGTGCCATGGAATCCTGGGATAGCGAGTGTCATGACACCCAGCTGGGGGCCTCTGGGAATGGTCATGCTATTCAGCCAGTGGTTGTGTCCAGACCTCTCAGTCGATCCAACAAATACAGTACAAGTAAGTGTGCTGGTGTTCAATAATTAGTTACATCTGTTTGATGTCATACCATTGTGCTGTCTTTTCAAACATTGATTAAGAATATTTCCTTTGCATTTAAAATGCCCCCCCCCCCCCCCCCCCCCCCCGCAAGATTCAATACACTCTAAAGGAACAACTTTGAATAACAGCTTTCAATGTTTACTGTTAGTACAAGTGATACATTGTATCTGAATTAATCTATGGATGTATATTATAAGGTATCAACAGTGGTGGATCAAATAATTCCAATGTGTTGTCAAGTATGGACAGAATAGATGATCTCAGCTCTGATGACGACCTTAACAATCATGATGTCAGTCGGCATGGTCACGGTGAAAATGAGGCTGTGGAAGAATGGGTTAGGTCCTTTGAGGATTACGAAAATTCAGAAATGTTGCAGCAAATCGGTGCAAGTTTACGAGAGAAAAGCACATCTAGCCTTGATAGACGTGCCCGACCAATGACTAGGATGCACAGGAAACAGATCTCGCACAGCACAGCCATTAATTTCAACAGTGACCTTGAACTGAACAAAGTGATGTCACGCCCTAGGAAAGCCAGAAGTGCTGTGCGACCCAGCAAGTCAAACGCGGAGATGTACCAGAATCATGTCAAGACAATCTTTTCCCCAACACCAGTGCAATTACATAAAATAATGCTGATGCGGAGCACGATGGTAGAGGATTTCGGTTTTGGACTGTCAGATGGAATGTATGAGAAAGGTGTATACATCAGTGGGGTTAGGAAAGGTAGCATAGCTGACCTGAATGGATTAAAACCATTTGATCGGGTACTACAGGTAATATTTCGGCATATACATGTACTTATCATGTATATATCAATTACATGTATAAAGTCTAAAATTTGAATCTTTCATAGAAAAGTCAGTATCTCTAGTTTGGTTTTGCCTCATTTTTTGTTTAAGTTCTTTTTTTGTCTATTTTACATTAACGTAACTTTGTACACTTTAAAAAATTATCAAAAGAATTATTATTTTGCTCAGGAAAAAAAATAGGAATTTCAAAATATTATGGGTTATTTTTAGGTGAATGGCAAGAGAACAAAGGATTTTGACTGTGCACTCACTATTCCATTGATTACGGAGGCTGGAAATAGCCTACATCTCATCATCAGCCGCAACCCCATCGCTAAGTCGGCAAGTCTGGGTCACAAGCGATTCGCTGGTTCCCAGCCCTTCAGAGATTATAATTCATACGATGACGAAAAAGTGTACGAAAATTCCAGTGTGTCGTCAGCCAGTGTATATAGTCCCAAGACTGTCTGATATTATTTCTAAGCAATGTGATAATTTATTTTTTATTATTGAGAGTGGTTGAAGCTTTACATGTTTGTAGTAGAATTTGATGATGTTTGATAGACAGATTTACATTTACAAATATATAGGTTGTAGGTTTACTCTAAACTGAATGATAAAAAAAGTAATACGTGTGGATATTATTTACAGCAAAAATTTTCAGAATTGGAAAAAAATATCAGGTTTTCTTTTTATATTTAAAATTTGATTCATATTTAAACAATTTAAAATGAATTCAAATTGAAGTATTTTGATATTCTATTCAGGTACCATAAAAAATATGTAAATACACATTATTTTTTCATATATCTTTTACCGAGTATTATAAAAAAAATTATATAGCTCTACCGTTTGAGATTACTACAGTAACTTAAATCATTAGATGTTAGTTTTGTCTTCCAACATAGCTGCTTACAAGTATGCTTGCACCTTCATTGACTAGCATTTCAAAACATAAATTTAACACAGTACTCTTCTTACATGTTAATGTTGAATTCATTGCATTCCTCGACCCTTCAATCAAATATTCACTCAAAATACTAGAATTATTTTTAAGTTGTGTTCACATTTATAAATCATGTCTGCACTTTATTCGACAAAAGATGAAGGCATCTTTTTATTTACATGTTCATGCCTTCCTATGATACATGGACTTGATGTACACAATGCAATGGTCAAAAGTAATGAATTGATGTCATTTAGTGTTAATTCGTTACTGATCATATTATACTGGTGTCATAATATTCTCCAATCCTTCTTAATCCCAGCTAATACAGATCATGTTAATTGTCAGTGAATTTATGCTTTATCTCATTATTATTATATAATGTTGCCAATTTTGCAATGCCAATTGCATTTAATAAAAGTGCAGTTTTTCAGGTTATGCTGTTTCAATACACTTTTTCCCAGAAATGATCTTTTTTTTGATGGATTGGCACATTTCTTACTCTGAATATTTCTTATAGAAGCTTGAGTATTTGTGATGGTACCTAAATGTAACTTTGCATAATCATTTTTTCCCCAGGTATGCTCATCTTCTATTGTGCTTTTATTATACATTTAATACATTTAATAGTAAAACAAAAATATAAGAATCTGTTGGAATTGGATTGCTTTTAATTTATTGAAATCTAAGTGAATGACAGTTAAATGTACTTATTCTATATATATATATATATATATATATATATATATATATATATATATATATATACATTTTTCTTTACTTTAAAAGAATTCTTAAACTTTTAAGACCTCCCTCTTTTAAAGCGATAGTACGGCTGCAAAATGTGTGCTATTTCATCCAAATTTACCCAATATGTCATTAAGAAATAAGGTATAAAGTTGATGTAAGCAGTTTGAGAAACAGAAATATTCTCTACTCAAACAAAATTAACGTAATTAGAATCTGCCGGAAAATCAAGGGTCGTACGAAGTGGAGCAATCTTAGATCTGTTTATTTGTACCACGTGAATTCTAAAACAGCACGTGCCTACACTGTAGAGTTTACAGTTATAATGAATATTAGGTGAAAGCAATTTTCAAAAACACAAATTATCATAACTTTCTGATAAAATAATCTAAAATAATAATCGTAAAGATTTTAGTCTGCATTCAGGCGAATTTAACAGAATTAAAAGTACAAATGTTTACGTTTTGTGTATTGGGGTTCGAGAAAGGGAAAACCAACTAATCATACGTTATCGCGGCAAATGTCAAACAAAATATTTTTCTGCACAGTTAAAAAAAATTAGCATTTCAAATGGCAACAATGTTTATAAGTCAAAGATGTATTTTTAATGTTGAGTTTACACTATTTTTTTTCTTTGAAAGCGACGGAAAAAATGAGAAATGATAACAAGTATCAACAAACCTGTCGAATAGAACCTTCGAGAGCCCTGCGTGAGTGTCGCCGAGTTCCCGTTTCTTCCTTATCCAGCGATTTTATTAATCCCCAAACTAAATTTTAGTCATGAAAGTTGCTTTTTCAAGTTCTATTTTCAGTTTCTTTTTCTTTTTGGTCGACTTGGTCAATGTAGCAGGCCTACCGGGATTCCCTCTCTAACCATGCTGTTTTGTTTATGAAAACTACGCATGCGTGCATAGCATGGAATGTGGAACCCCGAACACGTTGCGATGTATATATTTACGTCCCATAAATAACTATTAATTTTAATGAAATAATCCAAATTATTTAATTGTAAAAGTTGTAATTTTCTGAAAGTTTATACATTTATGAGTAGTAAAAAAATTCCAAATCTTGTCAGAAAATTTTATTTAGTCAGTTTTTTGATGAGATGCGCCGTACTGTCACTTTAATATATTATTTACTATTTTCAAATGAAACATAAAAAAAATCACTTTAAGAGCAAACATTAAGGTCATTGGAGTGCTTAACCCCATTCCAAAAAATAAAATTTTTGTTGCTCAGTATCAGGTATATTTACTGTTAAACAAAATAATTACCGGTGCACATTAACAAAACTGAAATTAGCAATATATAATCATATATAATTTAATTATTTAATTCCATTTCCATGTATTGTTCATCTTTTATTACGTTTATGAAATATGTACACGTAAAAAAGTTGATTCCTTGATGCAAAAATTGATACATGTATTAATACTTCTGCATTCCTTGCTACCTGGGCATAAACTAACTACAAAGAAAGCAAAATTTACCTTACACTTTGAACATGTTGAACAACATATGTATATGATATACTTACCATTTACAAGTATTTTTTGCCATGTATATCCAAAATTGAAGTTTAGTTACATGTATTATAGTGATGGACTGCAATAACAAACATGTGGAGTAGTGCATGTAACAAATTTACAGGTTTTTTGCATAATTTTTTTTTCTTTTTTCTCAACTGATTAGCATAATAAAAATAGTTTATGTGCCACCTAGTGGTGACATACAAAGGTTGCAAAATAAATGCTTAAAATTTTTATGCATTTCAAATTATTTTTGTTGGTGCTATTTGCAAAATATTGAAATATTGTTTTTTCAATCTTGCCAGTGCTAGTATTTTTATAGACATAGATGGTATTGTTTGCAAGTTTTTGTACAGGTTTTAATAGTGAAGGGTTGTATGTTTGTATAGAAGATTGTATTTTCATTTGTTTTCATTCTCATATTTAAGAATTCAAAGTACAGTAAAACTCATTTAGTACGAACACAGATATTGCAAATTCACAGATATAGCAAAGCTTTCTTGGATACCTAGTTGTATACATTTTTATGAGTTCCTTGTAATGAACTATGGATATAACAAAATAATTTCACAGGTCCCATTGGCTTCGTTAAAACTGAGTTTTACTGTAATGTTGCATGAGTAGTTACTTCTAAAATTACTGAAGTTCATAAATTACTGAAGTTCACTGAAGTGTTATTTCTTATAGTCAAAGCACAATTTTCAGTCTGTCAACATGGTCAGTTGCATTTGAGCAAAATTTGATATATATGTGTTTTTTTGTAGAACTAGAGTGTTCCAAGGAACTTGTGTTGCCTGTGACAGAAACTTTTTATCTCACAGCTTTGATGTTAAAATTTTGTTGAATTGAAAAGGACAGTTAACATGAATATTATTTTATCTTATAATTGAACCAATGATCATTAATTACCAGCTTATGAAAATTATAGACAGTATGTTTGTATTTTTTTAAAATATGAGGTTACAGATTAAAGTCATAAATTGTTTAGGAACTCTTAGTACTTTCAAAAGGCCTGGTAACAAAAATAAAATGCATTGTAATATACTGGTAAAAAGCCATATCTACTAGAAATGAAATTGTTTGAAATATTATGTTTTTCAAAAAAGGTGAAATGTCAGGTTAAAAAAACGTGATATTTTTCAAAAACCCTTTAAATCTTTTTCTTAGCAATACATGTGCAAAATATCAAATTTGAAAAAAGATATATAAGACTCATAGATCATTGCCTGACAAAGTGATCTTTGGTGTTGCTCTGTTTCGTGGGTGACAAATTTGCATATGTTACATATAGGAACGGATGGTGTTAAGTTTTAGAAAAAAAAGCTCTCAATTCCAATGCATATATTAGCATTCATTTTATTCGTTTTGATAATATTATTTCATAAAGATGTAAACTGCTATAATATAGATATAAGAAATAAATGTACTGAAATAGCAGTAAGAAAAGTAAAATCATTTATTTTCGTGGGGTCAAATTTTCGTGGGTTGAGAAAAATATTTGTTCATGGGGATTTTATATTGTGATTGATTCAGAAGAAGAGTTGATATTTAAATGAAATTTAACATTTCGTTGCAAATGCGTTTCTTCTTATATAGAAAACAACAAAAATTAAACCCCCATGAAAAGTGTTCTCACAATAAAGTAATATGTCTTCATTTTTGACAGCTTTTTCGATTTTCGTTTGCTGCAAAAAAAGAAGGCTAATATAACTGATCTACGAAATCATTTGAATATATGCAAAAGTAAAGATACTTTTTTAACAAATATATTTTGTAATAAGGCTACGTGTATAACTTTTACAAATGTGATGACCTAAAGAGAGAAGGTTGTGATTTAAATATTACGTAAGGACAATGCAATCTGTAGCCACTTGGTCTGACTGAAATCATTCCTGTATGTGATATGTTACTGATGTCAGTCTAAATGTCATGGCTTTGTTGGCACATTAAGACTTGATGGTGTACCTTCTATGATAATAACTTAATAGTTCTCTGTATTTCAGCTTTTCATGATTTCAAATCTTCTTTAGTGTTTCAAAATGTTTGAAATTGTGCAATCAATTTACATTGATGATTTGACATTATTGTCAAATTGGATGAATGTGTAATACAAGCATTCAATTTCTTTTTCTTTTTAAACAAATATGTTAGACATTATTGGGATTGAAATTTTGATAAAGAAAATGGGTGGAAACTATCAAAGATAGAAATGGAGTACTTACAAAGTGTGTTTGTGTATGTGTACATAAAACTTACTTGAAACTGGACTTTGTACAGTATTATTTTTTTCTCCACTATAGCTCTCCACACTGATGGCCTGTATGATGATATAAATACTGATATCTGGTGAAAAGCCTGTAATTTGATAATTCTTTTCATGTCAGATGGTACCTGAATGATGATTTCCTTTGAAAAAATGCATATTTTTATTATCATTATATCATTACTGATTTGCAATAGTTATTAACAATTTGTTATTCTATAAATAAATTTGTTTTTTCCTTTTTTAATATCATTCATTCACTAGTTCTTCAGCTCAGGTTAGCTTTTTTGATCAAAGAGTGTCTGGCGTCCGTCTGTAGTCCGAAAACTTTTCACATTTTGACTTCTCAAGAACCACTGGGCCAATTTCAACCAAACTTGCCACAAAGCACAAAGGGTGAATCACAGGAATTGCTGCGCCCTCTTTCTAGGGGAGGTAATTAAGAATTTGTGAAAATGGGGGGGGGGGGGCATCTTTTAAAAATCTTCTTCTCAAGAACCACTGGGCAAGAACAAATGAAACTTACGTGATATCGACAAAAAATTTGTTATAACTGAGATTTAATTTTTACACCTTTGTGTTTGTTGCACTATAGGCATTTCACTCGTCTTGTTCGCCCATCTTCTTTGTCTTTACATTCATGCAGATATGTGAAGCACTCAAGGTTTACAATTCCCCCCAACATCAAACAGATCACTAACACTGCATCGAAACGTGTTCAAAATTAAAGATAATTGTTCAATTCCTGGATTAAATCATACGTGTTAATAAAGAACTTGGATTAATTTTGGCTACCAAAATCATTGATTTTGACCCAATTAAGTAAAACCTCTTTCCATATTTTTTTTACTTATTTTTTTACACATGTTAACAGAAAAATTTAATCCAAACCTCTTACCCATAGAGATTCAATTTTCATTCCAGTTCTGATTCAAGAAGCTTTAACCATTTTGTGTCAAAGTGAATCAGTTTTCCATGTTGATTTTAATGCACATTAAAATCCATACATGTGTAATCCTCCATTTCTAAATCTTGAATTATGCTTTTTAATGAACTTTATGTGCACTTACCCATAAAAAGTATTAATTGTCTCTCTCGAATTCCTCTGAGTTCCTTATGAGGGTTTAATTAGTTAATATCGAATGGTTCATCTTATTATCAGGGATTTAGTCAACTGGAGTAAGTTTCCTTATGATTGTCTATCCCTCAGATTCTGAAAATCAGCAGTTAAGTAACTGAGAAAGCTTGCAAAATGTAATGAATTCACAAAGTAATGTTTATTTACGCATACAATTTTCTTCATGCAGTGTTCATCATTAAAAGTTCAAATACGTTTTAATGAAATGTGAATAAAAGCATCAATTATGCATTTTGTAGTTGAAAATTGATCTACAAATAAATTCTAGAATAAACAAGAAAATGGTATCCAGACATCTGAGGAACAAAAATTGCATGTTCTTAATACTTATGTGGTATTTAACTCCATTTGTAACATAAAACGTGTAAGTAGAATGTAATACAAAACTTCTTTGGAATTAAAGACGTTTTATTGTCAATCTAAACCATTTTAGTTATTGTGAAATTAATATTCAGACCAGATACAAATGCAAAATAGTCAAATTCTCTTTACATATCATCCATACTTTGTGTTCATCCATCAGATATAATTTAAGAATTATCAGCATATTGTGAACACAGGTGCTTGAGGACAGGACCCCCCCCCCCCCGATATAGACCCCCGGGCCTGTTCGACTTTTTTCTAATAAATTATATATGGATGACCCATCTGTGATATAATCTCTATATCATCAATTCGGAAAATTGACTTAAACAAACATTTTATAAAAGTTACTACCCTACCCTATATATATATAAGTTGATTTATACATAGAGAGTGGGGTAGATTTAATAAAATGTTTGTTTTAGGTAAATTTCGAATTGTTGGTATAGATTATATCGCAAATATGTCATTGAGAGATAATTTATGAGAAAAAAAGTCGAAAAGGCCCGGGGGTCTATATCGGGGGGGGGGGGGGGGGGTCCTGTCCTCAGCACCTGTGATTGTGAGGGTTTATAGTCTTCCCCATCAGTTGTTAATTCCCCATATGTCTAAATTATCACGCAGAACTGTGATTTTAAAGTTACATCAATATTATTGATGGGTTTTTAATTCTAATTGAAAATTGATCAGCATAGTCATGTTCATGTATTTAAGATATAATAATCGATCTTATAAAAAATATAGATAAATAAATTTTAAGAGATAAATAAATAAAATAGAATAATAAATAAATAAACGAAAACAAATAGTCTTGTTTTTTTCAGTCTCTATACTTATTTAGTTTCCCAGAAAGCCTCAATTCTGATGTATTTTTTTTTTAATTTGAATTATCGAATCGTTTGGAGTGCAGTAAGATGTTACGTGTATCTCACATCACAACCAGAGTTGTCAGACAGTGATGTATTTATACAGAGCTTATTGCTCGATTGGTACGTGTAGTTATACTCCTCAACCAAAATCTAAGGAATTATGTAAAATATCATATGTACATTAAAACAAAGAAATATCGTAAACTCTCTGTCTCTCATCTTTTACATAATTCCTTAGATTTTGTATCGATTGAATAATTCGAAAGTTAAGCGTTATAAAGCGAAATTTTGGATTCAATCATTTTTGAAAGTAATCTAGCAGCATTACTTTAAATGGATGAAAAATTACTTTACTGTTGTTAAAAAAAGATATTTTGGATTTTTTGGAGGGGGGGGGGGGTTCCTCCTCACCCCTCACCCCCATTTTGACATCCTCTTTGCTACTGGACCACTAGAGATGATTCTGTACATGTATATTTATAGAATATCATAGTCATCAATAAACAAACAATTTAAAGTTCTTAAAAAATGAACTGTTATACATGTAATATTAAAAAGTATAGATACAAAAGCTTCTCCCGTCCTTACTTTATTCTCTATTGAGAAGTTGATGGCTCCTTTTAATACTCGGGGGGGGGGGGGGTAGGGTTAAAACGAGCCATCAACTTCTCAATAGAGAATAGCACCAGAATAACTGCAGAACTGTAGCGTTATGGTTTTATATATTTTAGTTAAAGACTAAAATATAAAACCATAACGCTACTGTTCTGCAGATAGAAACATATTTACATTTTTATTTATCCCATGTTTGTCTCTGTTGGCCCTCGCTGGATTTTTTTGTAAGTAATGTAAAAATAAAAGGCTGACTTAGATTTAAATCAAAATTACTGTTCCTTTAGTTTGTATATCTAGCCCCCCCCCCCCCCCCCCCCTTCCTCGGCGTCCTCTGTTCAGGAAATCCTGGATCCGCCCCTATATAAATAAGTTACATGTACAGTCCGAAACGTAAATAACCAAAATGTAAGTAAATGAAAGTATTTCTTAACATTATAGGCCAATGTATTTAGAATTCTGCATTGTACATAAAGTTACATATACGTATACTTTACATATTACAATTCAGTTAGCCTACAAGTACAAACTACACAGACAGTCATCAGAAAATATTTATTTTGGGAGGATATTTATCTTATTGTTTTAAAATCTAAATAAAAACTAAACACCTTTGGGCTCTCGCGCACAGTTGTCTGCTAAATTGATTTTTTTTTAATTTACACTTTGACATGTTCCCTAGTGATACTTCGTCCACGCAAGATCTCGCGTTAATGTTAACAAATCACGTGAACACCTCCGTTCGAGAGGTAAAATGGAGATTGTAGAGAATCCTGTCGTTATCAATGGTGACATACCCTGTATGCCTCCTGGTCAGCAAAATGAAGACGACATTGACATAGGAAAAATCCAAGATGAGGTATGTATCGTTGCTTTGGGATCGAGAGATCCTCATTCACCCGAATTGCTTGTTTATGATAAGTAGTTCGAATTATCTCTTCAAGAAACACCTCAAACAGCTGATGTTCCTATTTCGGCTGATTACGCCATACGGGAGTAGTAAAAATAACGTTGATCTAACAGATACTGCGCATTTACTTTCACACTGATTGTGCTTTGTGTAATCTTTGTGCAATTTAAATTAAAAAAAGCATGGTGTGAGTCAGACATTGCGTCCAATATTCTCGCCCGTGTTTTGTTTTGTTTACAATCTCAACATACATTTAAGTGTCATTAACCGTATTTCACAGTTTTGGTGTGAAGTGACTGAAGCTATTATGATAATAAACAAAGACCCCAAAAGAGAAATTGTTTCCAAGTGATAGCAGTTTACTTTAAACTTACATAATGTATTTTCTGTTTCAAAATAATTGCATAGAAATGTTTTGAATTCTCCCAAAATGACATGTTATAACTTAAAGTGATATGATTAATATATCAAAATGTTTTTTCAATGATATTTATCGCTACCTTTTCATTTCAATGTCACTCACCATATTTGAAATTCTATATTATACAATGTAGGACTGGGCTCATATTGTTTTGTATTAATGTAGAATGTGAAGGATATTCCCCCCAAAACTTGGTTTTTGATTCAAAGAAGAGTTTTGTTTATTACATAGAATTTCACTTGAACATTCAAAATCACAATAAAAAATGTGTAAATAATGCTCAGAATAATGAATGATAAGAACACAGATCAAAAGAGTTAATTCGTTATTTGTAGAGCTCCCCAAGTAGTTCCATTTTTCATGCATGTACTAAAGTTTCATTCTCATAGAAATTTGAATGTCATTGAAATGATTTCTTGTCTCATTTCAGTTGAAAAATATTAGAAAAGTTATTCAGCTTACAAAAGATTCCTTAGATGAATTAAACAAAACATTTGGAAATGACCAACAACCAAATCCTATGTACTTGGAGGTGAGATTGTAATAAACATTTTTGTAATAGAATTTTTTGTTCTTTGTAGACTAAAATCTAAAATAAAGACTGTCTATAATAATATCATAAGAGGCATTTAGTGAGTTGCTTTCCTCATACATTTGATGAAATCATATTTCAAAATGCTAATTTTCAGGAATATGAAACACTCACAAACAAAATCCATGACTTACAAGTCAAAGAGGAAGATTTACTGGCAAAGATGCCCAATGAGGAGTTGGAGAACACTCCACCCCCCGCTCCCTCCACACTTCCCTCCTCGGGGGGCGTGGCTCAACCTAATGTACCAAATCCACTACCAAGTCCTAAACCTGTCCATGGGATTATAAAGGCCTACTTACCAAATGAGCAGTTTTCACTGGTACACTTATTTAGTCAGAGCTTATACTTAAAACTTATGAAAATAACAGCAAGATGGTTAGTTTATACGATTTGTTCAGTTTTTGTGGCATTTTGCAGCCTGCCTTTGATAAACATGTTAGTGTAATTGGAAAGAGCATAAGAGTTGAAAGCCTTTTTTTGATCAATTCACTAAAAAATCAAGGTGCAGAAATTGAGGCATTTTACAGAATTTTCACACATATGAATGCCTTGATTATTATTAAAAAATAGAATTAGTTACTACCAAAGATGGAGGAAAGTAGGGAATATTATTTTGACTGTGCTGCCAAAAATTTATACTTGATAAACATGTGTACACAGGTAAAAATAGAGCCAGGAAAGATACTGAAGGAAGGTTTAAAGAAAACAATGTCTCGCAGAGATCTGTTACCAGAAAATTGTAATGTCTTTGACTCCACAACAAAGTAAGTCTATAACATTTACTGTTAACATGGTAAATCATATTTCATTTATGAGAATTTTGTTTAAAATTAAATTTGCAAGATTTTCTGTAGGGGAACTTAAACTCTGGATTTTAAATTTCATTATTTATGGTATAATAATTGATGATGAGGAAAAAAGTAATTAATGACTAAAATCAGGGTTTGACATTAACTTTTACAAGTACTAGACCAATCGGGCTACTTCCGATAATTTTTACTAGCCCTGACCATAAAATCACCAGGCCTGAGCAAACTTGCAAATTTACTTCTTATAATGGAAAATTTTAATGAGCTAACTTTTGAAACCATTTTTAATAAAGACATCGTGTTTTGCGCGTGTCAATATTTTTGACAGACTGTTCGATAGGTCCCAGCCAACTGAGTCGGGTTCATCGGGACATTCGAGTATTATAAGCCTTAAAGAACATTCAACAAACTTTTATGTAATAATTATCGTAAATAAATTACTTTAAAATTATACTCTACGTAACTATTTATGTTGATACTAAACTACAGTAGTGTCATTTACAGCTGCCATGGCTAAAAATAGCGATGGTGTCATGTGGGGATTTCTTTCTTTACACATCGATGGCTTTGGAAATACATGGTTTATAAGAAAATTTATTTAAAAGTTTGTAGATTATGTATTTGAAAGACTGAAATAGGAGTTTAACAGTTATTTTATTGAGACAACCAATCGGTCTAGTTCACGTACATTTTACACGATCGGACCAATCATTTACTAGACTGGGTCGGTCAGATGTGCCAATAGTGTCAAACCCTGAAAATATAAAATTTGTTCTGAAGCTTTGTTGGCTTAAAGTAACATGAAAAATTAAGAGATTTAGAATACCTTCTCTAATTAAAGTTCATTGATACTCTGATAAGAGAGATAACTTTTAATGACATTAGTGTCTATGATTCCTTTATAATCTTGTCAAGTTGAAGTGTCTTTTTTGTCCAATTTTGCACCGCAAGCTATGCTACAATTGTCTGTATTTTACTTAACAAATACATTTCTTTTGGAAAATCATAAGAGTCAAAGAAACATTTTATATGAGTTAGCAGAGGGTTTTTGAACCTTAATTATTAAACTTGGCAGAATAAGAAAACTACTTAAAGAAGACATAACCATAAAAAAAAAAATTGAGAAGAAAGATGTTTAGTAATGCACAAAATAAATTTATTATTAAATTTATTATTATTATTTAATATTTTTATGCATTTTTAAAAACATTCACAAGTTAATATTAATAATATTAACTTGTGAATGTTTTTAAAAATGCATAAAAATATTAAATGTACACAGACATGACCATTATTTTTGTTTTTTAGGATGCCCATCTCATGGGACATTGACATGGCAAACTTAGCCGGAAAACACATCAATGTCTGTGAGAAACCCAAGCGAAAGCTGGAGGGACAGTTAGCGATCACCACACATAATATAGTACGTGGGTCAAAGAGCAAAGGTTACATTAACAGGGGGTCAAATAGCAAAGGTTATTTAGGCAGGGACAGTTGCCATCACTACACATATTAAATATATTATTATTGTATAGGTCATATAGCAAAGGTTACATTAGGTTGGATACCATGCTAGGCAGGGTCAGCAGCATATCATCATATATAATAGATGGTGATCCATATAGCAGAAAGTACATAAGTAAGGGTTGAATAGCAAAGGGTATGTTATGCAAAGACGTATGAATTTGAGATAGAGTAAGTTATATTTTTGAAGATGGTGTACACTCAAGCTCAATAAAATGGTGCAAATGATGTCGCTGGGGGTTAAGCGTAAAAAAATAAAGAAATGTCAAAGAAAATACCTTTTGAATGAATGCATGAATATGTAACCTTTAAGGCAAAAATACAAAAATGAAGTGAACAAATCATATTGAGATATTTTATTTGGCATATAGTGAATTTTTGAAACGTACGTTACTGTCGCCAACATCGAATAATTACACTTAATGGCTATTTTTTGTACAAATAACAGTTGAATCTTAAATTAGATAGCATATGTCTTCAAAACATTTATTTGTAAAATGCTTTTAATAAATTATTGAGCATAATCACAAATATATTACCAAACTTTGATTTGATATCCCCATGTCGCCAGAAACAAAATAAAAACGGTCTGTGACATTAAATATAGCATGAGTATTCGGTATTGTATGCCTGTAAGATTGGAATACGTTTTATTTTGAAGGAAACTTCTTGAAAATTAAAAATAAATGGTACAAAGCCTTGTATATGTTACCAATACTTTGAAATTACATTCTATCTTCCTATTTTACATGCGTATGGATAGACATGAAACATTCGTTGTATTAGTTTAATAGATGAAATAGAATGATATCATAGTTAAACATGTGATTCTTTTTCTTCTATCCAACAACTGTATTCCATGCTCCAACCATGATTTAACAATGTCTTATTGTTAGCTTACTATTTAAGAGAAAATGATTAAATGAAACAACCGTTACCGAAACATTCGTTACCAAACCTCTTAAAAAAGAATGATTTATGAGTTCAAACATCTTCTGCACATATACGTAGTCAAATATTTTGCGCCAGTATTCAAATTTTGACATCCGGAGTACGGTACTGCCTTTATATGATTTTTTTCTAAAGTCTAGACAGTGTTGGTGAGTTTGTTTTCTAGAATGAAACAGCAATGAATCAAATGGAATGAATTAGTATGTAACTTTTAATATTTATATAACGACCGACAACAACTACGCAACCAGTATCAATCTACACCTGAATGTCCTCTATTAGTCTTGAAAGGTGTTGAAACATTCGTTACCGAAGGTAACGAATGTTACAAAATTTTTAACAAATCATATATCAAAATTGCAACAATATTTACGGAATTTCTTTCATGACTAATTGGTCGAATGTAAACTTTATTGATTGATTTGTATCATTTTAAGCTTAAGTTGCATAAATTTTAATATAAACTGATTCTAGAGACGCATTATTGAACACACACATTAATTCTGAAGAAAAACATTAATTGAAATTATTTCGAAAGACATTTTTAGATTGAATCATATGATATTGATTAAACAAAGGCTTGAGTTTCTATTCTGAATCTACATCAGGGTTTTTTGTTTCTCTCTTATAATTTTGATACTGTTAAACTCGCATTTTATGTTAAGTAACGTACGTTTCAGCATTTTATTTTAGTTGAACTATGGCATTGACCCAAGCAGAAATACGAAGGAAGTTTCCATTTATGGTCAAATGATTTCAAGCTAAAAGTCATCAGAAAAATTGTTATTTACATTATTTTAGGTTCTGTTAAAACGTCTATACAGACAATTTTACATATATCTCTTATCCGTTTGTACATATAGTACAGTTCAAGGAAAATATGACACGATGATATATATGATGCAGTTCAAATTATGATTTCTTTTGACATTTTCAATTCCATGGCACAAGTAGAGCAGAAATTACATCTCATGAATTGGTCCATTTTGTTGGAATTAATCTTAAAAACAGTAAATATTACTTCTCATGAAACATTCGTTACATACGAACGTTGTTGCATTTGAAAGTGTAAATAAGAACAAGATCACAATTCATGAACAACGTTTTATTTAACGTTTCTATAAATGGATCCTCTTTTCATTTAGAACCCCCATTTGCGCTGGGCAGTTTTGATTTTTCTTGAAGCATATTTGAAATATAAAATTTTAGAGAATGTCAAATTCATTTGAAGAAAAAAATATAATACGATAATTTGATTGCATCAATTCATTAAATACATTATGACAGTTGACCTTTTTTGTCTTATCACGAAAGTAAATAGACTGATTTGCTTTTGACATTGAGGATTTATTACAATCTATATTATTTCACCCTAAAATCTTAAAGGAAAACTTTAATATGATACGTAACGCTTGTTTCTCAGCAAATAATGATCAACAATACACCTTTATTTCAAATTGACGTAATTTCTCAACCAATGAACTTAACTTGAAAAATCTTTGGGAATACAAACTTGATATGTTGATCTATCCGAAAATGTTATTTGCAGATGGATAATCAAAAGTCAATTTTTGAAGAAAAAATATCTTGAATTGCACCAATTTATTGAGTTTGGGTGTGTAACATACATAAAGCATACCTTATAATAAGGAATAGGTATCAGTCTCGTTTTGGGAAAATCATCTTTATACTAATCTTTAACAAATGAAATGAAGTGAATCAGGAAATGGTATTGATCTGAATTGTTCAGTCTTATTAACCTTAGTGTAGCCTTCTTGAGAGAATGTTTCTATATTTTTCAGTTGTTATACATGTATTTACTGATATTTAGAGGTGTAAACTGATGACTTTATATGATTGTATTTAATAGTTTATTTTTTCTGCACAATAAGACTTACATGTAATGATGTATACATATATATGTGACAGGTAGATATTTCAGCATTGTTCAGGCAGGATGTTTAAAGAAAGGATTAACAAGATTCTTCCTACTCTTTCTTCCTTGCAGGTTAGAAAAACATTTTTACTTTTAACATTCTGTGATGGCTGTGGGAAGTCCTTGTTTCAAAGTTTTCGCTGTCAGACGTGTGGAATTCGATTTCATCAGCGCTGCAGCGACAAAATACAACCCTTCTGTTACCCTGTGTCCGATTCCTTACATTACCCGGGGATGTTCAAACCGTAAGTATTTGCAAAGTAGGAGATGTTACATGATAATCGAAGAGTTTCTGTTAACAATGCAGTGTTTTTGATATATGGTTGTTTCTCTTTGCTTTATAGAGCATTCAGTTTTAGATGAACATTTCTTACTGATTAACATAAATTTACCCTTTCATCATTGTCAGTCTGGTCTCGAATTCATTAATAGTTTTAAAGTTTATTTTCCACACTTGAGGCTTTTTTTGCATATTCATGCATATTTATGCATATTCATTTAATACTTTCAGTTATTTATAAATTTTTCTGTCAATCAGAAATGCTAATATAAAATGTATTTGGTGTGATATAGAAAACAACATCTTTTGAGTACTTGAAGATCAAAATTCAGCCAACTATAATTGGTAAACAGGAAACACTGATCAGAAATTTTCAGTCTGAATTTGAAAGTTCTGTATGCAAAGAGCAGAAGCCAAGATCTCTGTTAATAAGGGTCTTAGATATTATTACATACAGTACCTCGCAAATGGGGTATGCTGGAATCAACCTGTCCATCTGTCTGTATTTCCATATACATTTTTTGTCTGTAACAGTTAAGGTTGCTTGTGACTTATGATATGTCCTCAACCCAGAGTAATTTTAAAAAAGGTCAAGGACATAGATTTCAGAAGTGTAAAATTCATTGGGGTTCATGGCCATAACTTTGAAACCGAGAGTGTGTAACAAACCAGCACATTTAGTTGGACAGGGTCAAGGCCACATTCAGTTGGACAGGGTCAAGGTCACATTCATTGGACAGGATCAATGTCACATTCAGTTGGACAGGGTCAAGGTCACATTCAGTTGGACAGGGCCAAGGTCTCTTGGTTTGAAATGTAGAATTCTTGTCCAAACTTTGATTTTATGATTGAATAACTTAAGAAGAGCATACTGTGGTTTCATTAATATTCGTTGGCATCAATTTTCGTGGATTTAGTAAAAATCACTGTTTCGAGGATACGTAAATTCGTGGATAATGATCATACAACAACAAAAAATATTGTGTTTTCATTGTGCAGATGATAATTGGTGTTGGACTCTTATTTTGTTTGAGAATAACGAATTCACACGTTTACATTTGATTATTTATCACCCTTCGTGTTATCCCATTGATTGGTAAATGCACTGCGTTAACAGTTCTACGTGTTGTTTGTTTATCTCCGTGTTGAATATTTATACATATTGACTAAAAATTTTCAGATAATTATCTAATAGTATTTTTCTAATATTCTTAAAGTGATAAAATAAAGCCAAACTGGTGGGAAAGGGGGTGTATCAACAAAAGTCGTAATAGGCTTTTTAAAGGTTTATCATAAATCAAATGGAGGCGCAAAACTTCGATGAACATTTGATTTCGTGGATCAACTCAACAACGAAATCCACGGAAATTGGTGTTCCACGAATAATGATGAAACCACAGTACTTGACAAGGGTGTTGATTATTATCCTTGAATATGTCATGACCCTGATGAAAGGTCAGTTAAATAATGTCAAGGCCACAGGGTTCAGAAGAGTAAAATTCAGAAGGGCTCAAAAATTACAATTCTGAAAGACAAAACTTTAATTGTGTTTTGAGGAGTAGCAGGGGGTCATACTTGACACAAAGATTACTTGTGAAAAAGAGGTCTGTAAGGTTTCTTAGCAATGATTGGTTGAATTAGTTTCAAGGTGACATGGCTTAGAAGTTAAATGTTCTGTGGGCCGTTGTTATAACTTGAAAAGTTATACATTCATACTCAACCTAAAGATTGTTCACAACTGATAGTGTTTAAAACTTTTGACCAATTACATTTCAATTCAGGTCACATGACTCTAGTAACAATTTTTTGGCAAGATGGTGGAGTCCTTTTAATTTTTAAGCCATTTTAAAGTATGCCCTTTCCATAGTTGTCCCATAAGAGGTATAAGTCCCATTAGTAAGAAATATGTTGTTTTTGATTTAGAAACTGTCAGTAGATGGACTTAAAAATGAATATGCATATATATGTGTTTTAAATGAAATGAAATACTGTTTGCCTCTGAAGTATTGTTTTAATAGAATTGATGTTGTAGTAGTTTAATTTATTTAATAATTTTCAAAGTCTTAGTTTTTTCAGCTAATGTGTGACAAGCTATTGTTGTGATAAATTTGGCACAGTTGTTCAATCTATGTTTTTTATTTGTATAAGTAGATCTTCATTTTATGTACATGTAATAATTGTTATATATGTTTGTTTTTATGGACATTAATAATTTTAAGTTATTTTCTGTGTTTGAAAGCAGTGATTTGACTTGTCTCTCACATAATACTCCTGTTGGAGAAGTTACTTCCCCTGTCCTTTATTTTTTTTTGCCTGAGTAGCCTGTCGATGATGAAGGCCTATACTGCTCTAGTTTACCTCTTCCCATAAATCAAAAGCTTTTTCTAAGAGACTATGCATGTTCCAAACTTGTTTTCCATAGAAAATTCTTGTTTATCCCCGGAAAAAAAAAATGGAATGCTATTTGATGCATAGTGTCAAAAAAAAAGAAAAAATATTTTTTTTTTTTCATTTCTTGCTTGAGTAGTGAACAAAAAAGGAATTAAATGCATTAAAGCATTTGAATTTTTTAAAAATAAGAATAAAAACTCTTTGGCCTCTGAAAAAAATGAAGCCCATGAACTGCTGAAACCTCTAAGTCTCAAACAACTGAACTTTCCTTGCTTTGATAATTATAGAGAAGTTCTTGTATGAAAATTTGTCTTAGATGTCTTTTTCAGTTCAACTTGCTGAAATTCCTAGCATGACTGTCTAGATTGACCATGTGACCCGGTTTCTTTGTTTACTGTTTGTTCACGATTTTCTGTATTAATATCACTTTTATTTGTGTTATGCATATCTAGTTTTGTTGTTTTTTTCCCAGTTATTTGAGTGCCAGTTTTGTTGAAAATTGTAGCCATGCATTTTTATGTTGCTTCTGAATTTAGTGTTGTTTGGTCTTTGTTTTGCATGTTTTTTTCACAGCTTCAGTATTAGCTATTGCTAGAGCAAGAATGCTACAGAAATTGGGAAACTGTTCTTCATCTTAGACTTTTCTCCTAAATAAATAAAGTAAAAATGAATGAAAATCTATCTTCATTCTAAATTTGTGAGAGAAAAAAATAATTTACCTCAAAATCTCTATGTATTATCACAATTCTAGAAAATAATGACTGATATTCAGTAAATTTTTATCATTTTTAGGACTGAAAAATTAAACCACACTAAAAGCATAGAGTAAAATTAAATCAAAAGTAGAAATATAAAATTTGAATGAGCAAGTGATTTCATGGATTATATTGTAATTTAAAGATGAACAGGCCTTTACCTCTTTAAATGGGAATTTTTCTTTAATTATGAGAATTGTCTAACAGATGATGGTGTTAAAGCAAGTTCTGTATAACATATGGACTAAAGTTTTAGAGAAATCATCATATTATGATGAAAATTTTAATTTTGAAAATGGTGAATTAGCAATTATAGAGTTATCTCTCTTAGTCTAGAGGTTTTCCTGGCAGCAGGAAGATTCTTACTCAAATAATTAATCATGGTAGAAAATTTAAGGCAATATAGAGGGATAAGTTTACTTAACCATACTTACAGATTTAAGGGCCAGTACATTATTCAATTTAAAAATTAGCACTCATCCTCTAGGTAAAGTAACTAAGTCACTTAGTTTAGAAACACAGTGTCATGTATTTGAATCACATTTTTTGATATCACGGAGTTTTATTTAAGTACTAAATAGTTTTAGTAATCACTGTTAGTTTGGACAAAGAAAAAAAAGGACACCTTTAATAATAGACATATTTTGTTTCACACTTAAGATTTTGTTATATACCCTTCACAGTTTCTTTACAGAAATTTATCTTCAATACTGACAAAGTTGCTATCACTGTTCATATTATGTGTTTGGGTATGGTCATCTAAAGAAAAGCTATAAATATAAATGAATTGATAAAAAGATAGTCTCAAAAGTTCAATTTAATTTTGTGTATCGTCTAAATATAACACAGTGACTTTTTTTTTTTACTGAAAGCACTCCTTAAAAGATTTATTACAATTTGGTACCAGTAGATTAAGAAAATATTTAAATAAAGTTGAAAGTGTTCTATTTTTTCATATTTGAGATGACCTTATCCATTGTTTAAGGCTAGGTAACCTGCTAATTTTGCCTTTGCCATTTTTCTTGATCTGTGCTATCTTTTCTAACTCTGCATGTTTCTGACAAATATGTATATTCAAATATATATATGCATTCATATTCGAAATTTCAGCAAGTTGGCGGATCCGGGGTTTTCTCAGAACAAGGAAGATCGGTTCAGTCGCAGCCGCTCACAATCGGCACCTAATGTTAATATAAATATAACGGACACGCATCCTGACCATTCAGAGGTAAAGTTTTGATTGGTTGAGGGCAGTCCAGAGTCATTGAGAATGTGGAAAAGTTACCCCGCCCCTTCCCCATGCCCTGTCCCTATTTCTGAGCCAATACATGGATTATCTTTCCATGCATTGATTGCTTGAATTTGGTCTTAAGAAAACTGCAAATAGGTCAGTTTTAAACCCCCCCCCCCCCCCCCCCCCCCCCAAAAAAAAAAAAAAAAAAAAGAAGGGAAAAATGGGTCAAGTTAGATTTTTACAAACCCATCTACATTTCAGTTGAAGGGACGTCTAAAACTGAAATACTTTGAGAGAAGAGGTTGTTTTACATACCATATGTCTTCAGTTTACTGTGCAGGCAATTGCCATCGCACATACTAAAAAAAAAGGTCACATGCTTTCATATACACACAGAAAAGAGAAAGTAAAGTTTCCCATGATTTATGAGATACATCTATTTCCTGCCTTATACAGCCTCACATCTCAAGTAAACTCATCGCCATTGTATACATCTGAACCCAATCTACGGAACATTAACACCCCACCACCTCAAGATGATTTAAGGGTAGGTACTGACGATATCCCAAGTGGTAGGTAAGAGAATCAAAGTTCACGCTCAGGTTCCTCCTTTAAAATTGCATGGCAAGTATATTACAGATATTGTACAGAAATGTTCAAAAAAAGTATAATATTATTGTATTCTGTCTCTGAAAAAACCTTTTTTTTCTAAACATGATTGAAATTTTTATGATTATGACAGGTTTATAACTGAAACTTTTATACAGTAGAATAAAAAAATCAGGAATTAAACATTTATCAAGTACATGTATATACACCAAAGGTTTACAAAAATATAACAAAGAACATGCAGTCAAAATGTTAAATACATATACATTGTATATAGACCTGTAATGCAGAATTCTTTTTCTTGAAATATAATTTACATGTACTTGTGAAGCTTAATAATCATAATAGTTTAACTGTATCTTTGTATGTCTTTGGGGAAAGCATTTTAACTCGGACATGCTTAAGTTTCATTGATACTTTTTTTTAATATACTGATACATGTATATATTTTACATTCTGACACACAGATTTGATAAAAATCCTTTAGAAATGAAATTTGATTAGGGATTTAAAAAAAAAAAATTCTTGATATGTAGAAATTTATTTTAATGTAATGATAAAAATGTTGCATACTTTTTCCTTGTTTGTGTATTTATGTTTTCATGTACATGTATGTTTCGAAGTATCGTTATTGAGTTATTGGTAATTATCTTCTTATGGCAATATGCTTTGTATGAATTTCTATTTGAAGCTTTATTTGGAAGGGGAGGGGAAAGAAACTGCTTCTTAAACTTGAAAGTTTGCTGCAGTTGATAGTATTCCAAATAAGCACTATTTTTAGCTCACCTCAAAGTGCTTACTCTGTACCCCGTTCTCAGAATCCTGGTTAAAGTTTTAGAAGCATGTAAATTTTCAAGTAACTATAACCCGAATAGGGACCAAGGATACACACTTCAGCCTTGCTTCAAATATTGCATCTGACCTACATTTTCGAAAGGAGTGACCAGGTTAAAGCTTTTGGAGCAGGTCACTATGAACCCTCTCTTGACTTAACTTGCATGAATTATGCATCTAGAGATACACACTAGCAAGACAATTATTGCTTTAAATGGTGTATCCAAATGCATTTTTTGGATGGAACACATTAAAATTTTTAGAGTAGGTCCATTTCCAAGTAAGTATAAGCTTTTCCTAGTCCAAACTTGCATGGATGTTGCATCCAGTGATGTACACTAACAGACCTGCTTAAGATTCTGCAGCTGTCATTTTATTCCAAGTATTTCATTCCCAAATAAAACTATAAACTTTACCCATGCAGATCAAAACTTGCATGGATATTGCATCTTAGAGATCTAGGCTAGAACATTTTATTTGGTGTAAGACTTGCCTTACGTTTAGGTGACATTGGTAGAAGTGAGCTTCATAAACTTTGATTACCTATGTTGTTTTGAAGTATTCATTTAACAGTTAACATGTAAAGAGCTATTTCATACTGTGTTATTGCTAATATTATTCTATTTTGTTTCTCAGGAGAAGTTTCCATTTACTTCCCCGAATATTGAAGGTATGGACTTTTTTGATGTTTTTCAGTTTTGTAGCATCAGTAGTGATAAACTGCACCGTAACGTAGCATGATAGATATTGGAACTCGTTGTGTTTTCTGTATATTTCAATATAAAAAGTAGCTTTAACTTGATTTCTCTTGCAGATTACTGTAAATCACTTTTATTTGTGAGAACTTTATTTTCGCCTAATTACACGATACTGTTTGCTCGAAAAAATTTCATTATCATGTATATTTTACAGAGCAATGACCAAAATTCATAAAAATTTTGTCTCACTTATAAATATGAAATAAAAATCTCACAAAAATCAGGTATTGGGAAAATTAAGTGATCTACAGTAGCAGGTCTGAAACGTTTTTGCTCAATTCTGCTAAAGAATAATTACCAAGCATTTTCTAATGTGCTTTCTTCTCCTCGTTTAGAGGAGGCTTGCATTACTATTTTTTGTTTTAAGTAAAATCATTTCTGATAAATACCAATGAGATTCATTTTTAACTTGAAGATACATTATCAGAAGTTTTGGGAACACAGTCATTTAGTTTACAAAACATTACAATGAAGCTTTGGTTCAACTATAACACTATGAATTATATTTTCTATGAAATATAAGATTTCTCTGTTGGGAGAAATGAAACTGACATCACTACAAAAAATAATTTATTAGACATGGACTGTTAATTCCAGATTCGGGTCACCCTCGACATTACAAAGACAAACGTCATGCCAGTGATGGCACATGTAGCAAGCCTACACCAAAGCATCGCTATGGTAACCGTGTGTGCTTTGTGTGTGGGACTATGATTTTTTTTATTGTGGCTTTTCCTCTTCAAACACAACAGTGGAATGATTTGGTTCTTGTGTCATCATTTTTTCAAAAAAAAAAAAAAAAAAAAAAAAAAAAAAAAATTGAAGTCATGCAGAGGAACAAAAATTATTATATTTTTATGATTGAGGATTTTTTGGTATTTTTAGTTTTGTTAATAGAAAAGAAATATTTATTCATGACAATGACACAGGAGTCACATTTTCCATGTTTAAATTCTACTGACACTCGTAAAACATTTCATCGTTAGTGATGCTTAAGATGAATTCTGTACAAAGTACAACGTGGGTCCATTACTAACTCTTTGATACCAGTATCTGTGTACAGGTCCATGTAAACGTATTTGTATTCAAAATTAGACCCTTTCCCATTAATCTTATGATCACTGAAATAGTCAGTACTAATAGTATTTCCATTTAATAAGCACCTACATCAAGTCTTACCAGGTATTTTCAAGGTCTGTTCATCTAGTTCAGATTTTTGTGTAATCAAAGTATCAGAGAGAGAGAGAGAGAGAGAGAGATATTTTATAAAAGTCTTGCTGAATAATCTTTTTATATGCACAGATTTGATACAGTGAATTTTTGCAGTTGTTGAATTTTTTTTGTTAGTCTTTGATTGGCTTGTGTGATGTGATGCAGTATATAGTTTTCCCGAACAGTTATAGAGTTTATTAAGGACACAGTCTTCTAGCTATGAAGGATATTGAGTGTTTTAATAATAGACCTGGTTTGTTCTACTACAATTTCACAATCATCTCTGATCCACCAGAAGTCATTAACAAACCCATCCTCACTGACATAATATTTCTTCTTGTTTGAAAATGACATGAATACTGTAAACCAAATTTTCTATGTTTTCTGTGAGTCATGTGTAGGAAAAATCTGCAAGGTTTTTGACCTTTTACTGGAAAAAATTCCTAGCTGTGAACCATTTCTTCTGCATTAATGGTAGAATGTTTACAGTGTGTCACAAAAATGAATATCTTAATGGGGATGAATATGAAACTGAAGAATCGCAAATAAAAGTACATGTACTGTAATTTATCATGATATCATTTTAAAAATTGCCACCATTTTTTGGGTTGGATTTTATGAAATTCAATGTATTTTTGAAAGATCTTGGTGTCTTTGTCACACTCAGTTGTTCTTATCTTTTTGTTTTATTTTTTTTTTCAGGAACACAAAGAAACAATACCCTGCCTGTGTTATCCAATCAGTCCAAGCCTATACCTCAGCCGCCACCCCCACAGACGGGTCAGGAGGCCAAGGTAGGGCAGCCGTGACGACAACCATGATTCCATTTTTACTGTAAAAGACAATCAATGTGTAGGATTCTAAAAGACAATTCAAAGTCTTCAAAAGTTACAATGTGTTCATAAGCAAACTTAAAAAAAAGAACTCAAAGAGATGTTTCTTTTTTCCCCCTCCTATTACTTAAAAAATGATCTTAAATTAAGTCCCAAATATCTTATGGAAACAAGAGGCTGATTATGTTTCATCTGTTGAAAGGAAAACTTTATTCTTCATTTGTTTTATGATGTAGCATCGGACAGGAGAAAATCATCCGCGAGAGGACTGGGAAATCAACGGTGATCAGATACAAATGCACAAGAGGATAGGGTCAGGGTCATTTGGGACTGTGTATCGGGGGTATTACCATGGTCACGTGGCGATCAAACGCCTCAATGTCACAGCTCCTACCCCTCAACAGCTGAGGGCATTCAAAAATGAAGTAGCTGTTTTAAGGTCAGTCAAAAATGAACATCATGCTGATAATACTCTTATGTGATCATATAATATTACATGTAGTAATCAGTGGCCTTTTTCACAAAAATCTTAGTACGACTAAGATAAAAATTTGACAAATATTTAATTCTTTGTTTAATAAAGACATTCATTTTTTCAAAAATATTATTTACAATGTAATATAATGTAATAGAAATATAAGATTTTTTATAGCAACTATGTACAGCTTAGATGCTTGTTGGAGAATTGGAAATTTTTTTTCTTGCACTGTAGTCATAATATTTTTTGTGAAAGGGACCACAGAAGGATGTTTATTTAGTGATAAGAAGGGTTAGATCACCTTTGGTAGGTACAGTAGTTAGAAAAGTACTTATCTAGGGAGTGGGGGTGAGGTGAAATGAATACAAGGTTTACATAATTTTAAGAAAGATAACTCTTACTAATAATAGTGAAAGTGAGACACTACTTTCAACATGTTAAAAGACTAAATAAAATGCACACAGCATTGTAGGAACAGTCAGAGTGTGAGAAAGAACAGAAGAAAATGTTCAATGACCATGTAGACATTTATTTAAGTCAGATCTTATTTTCTGTACTCATCCATCCTGTGTAAAAATGCATGTGATCCAAACTTTCTTAATGTAGGAAAACTCGACACACAAACATTCTTCTGTTCATGGGATGGACGTCAAAGCCCCAGTTAGCCATAGTTACCCAGTGGTGTGAAGGTTCCAGTTTATACAAACACATTCATGAAGACGATATCAAATTTGAAATGTTGACGATAATGGAAATCTCCCGACAGACGGCGCAGGGCATGGAGTAAGTGTCATCAGGACTGTGTTTTTGCTGAAATTCATACACTGAAGCTGCAAATATAAAAGAATCGTTCTATGAATTCAGTTTAAAAATTGATTTATTTGAATTTTATTTTTCAGTTACCTCCATGCAAAATCTATTATTCACAGAGATTTAAAGTCAAACAGTATCCTTTTCTTGTACTGGGTATATACATGTAGATTTAGAAAAATGAGATAAAATGCATGCATGTTTGTCCCTCAGTACATATAAAGATTCCAGTTCCTGGAACAGGCTTTATCTAAACAAAGACTTATGTTCTTATTGTAACTACAGTATTTCCAACAGCCTTGGTTTTATTATAAAGATGTTACAGTGTATATAAAAAGTTGATATGTCAATTGTAATGTTTGAGAAAACTCTAAGAACGATTACTTTGAAAAAGGATTAGATACTTCCAAACTTTATTTTTCACGTTTTGTCTTCTGAATCATCGCATGATAGTAGAAATCAAAATAAATCTTTATGATTCATAGAAGAGAGAAAAAGAATTCTTTAACTATAAATCAGATATATTTTTAACGGAAAATTTAACGGTAAAAATAGGTGATTTTGGACTGGCCACCATGAAAACAAGGTGGAGTGGGTCACATCAATTCCAACAACCCAGTGGGTCCATATTATGGATGGTAGGTTGTGATGTGTTTTATCTGATTGTATTGTAGACAAGGAATGTACTGCACTTTTACAGAAAAGTATGTTTCTTATAAAACTCTACATTGAAACATTTTTTTTTTTAACATTGAACCATTTATCAAGACTAATGGAAATAGAGATTTGAAAAGTTCAAGACTTCTGAGAGTTTAATATTTTCATGGGTTCTCTTTATATTGAAAAATAAAATATTTGAAACATTTACCTATTAATTACTGTAATCACTTTTTGTTCACGGGAACTTTATTTACATGTAATTAGGCGAGACTGCCTGTTTGTGAAAATTTCATTCTCGTGTATAATTGTATTAGACAAGATTATATAGTGCAATAACCAAAATTTGTAAAAATTTTCTTTTGCTTATGAATATCAAACAACAATCTCAAATAAATAAGGTGTCACAAAAGTTGTGAAAAATTTAGTGATCTACAGTATATGTAACATATAGCTTTCATGACACAAGAAACTGTTTTTGTCTTCAGATAAAATCTAATAATGAAAGATGACCTTCCAGTAATAATTACTATGTTTTTTTTTTCTCTAGGCCCCTGAGGTCATACGAATGAAGGAAGCCAATCCCTACACGAATCAATCAGATGTCTACGCTTTTGGAATTGTGTTATACGAATTAATGACACAGTCACTTCCTTACAGCAACATAAGTAACAAAGACCAGGTCAGTTCTGATGATGTCTAAAAAGCTAAAGATAACAAAGAAGAAATATACTGTTGGACCAGAATAAGATTTTTCCCCTTGATAAGTCACCATTTTTTCCCTATGGGTCCATAGGGGGGAATGTTGTATCCCCTCCCCCAAAGTGTTGATGAAGTGTTTAGCGAGAATGAGAGAATGATAAAGAGAGTGTTATACATCAAATAGTCCAATATTAAAACTTATTGAATATGGTTTCAATATAACTTCAACTTTTATAATTTTATCTATATGTATGCTTTAAAGAACTGCAAGATAAAGGTGTGTAAGAATTTGATACTGTAAACGTGGTTATTTTGACGAGTTGAAAAATTGACGATTTTTTGTTTACAGAAATTGACGAGTGTTAATTTTGACGAAATATTGAATCAAGAGTTATGTATATCTTTGATTTCACAAGATTAAAACAAAAAATGAATACAAAGAACTCCTAAAACAACGAGTTTCAAAACTAGTATTCAGAGTAAGTTCGCCAGAAGCTAGAGGACCAAAAACTTGACGGAAACATTGGCATAATTAGTTGACTTGAGAACGTCTACGATTAAGCCGCTCTGTGCGAGTTCACGATGTTATAAGCAAGGACCGCGACTTCCTCGGGAACTCATTTACAAGCGTTCTCATCAATAAAATTTAATTTTGCTTGTAAAAACCATCTACAGTGTATAAGATTTGATTGAATTAATGGCTCTATTGTATTTTGTTTTCATTATACGAGACCGATTGCCTGAGGTGACAAAGTAGGTCAAACACGGCGTGATAATTACGCAAAATTAGAATGTTGTGACCATGGGTAATAATTGTTTATGACATACTCCATTGTTTTTAAAACTATGATTATATGTTTTCATAACTACCGTATTTACAAAAAAAAATTAAACAGTAACTTTGATCTAAAGGGGGAAGCCGAGAAAATTAAGCGGTAAAGTTGTACGACGATCAATGACTATTGTGACGCTATATATATGATATGAAGTTTGACGAGTGGAAATTTTGACGAGAAAAGAAAAATCGTCAATATAGTCAAAATTAGCACGTCGTCAAAATTTCCACGTTTACAGTAACTACATTCTAAAAAGGAGAGAAAAATTTTAAATAAGTCTTTGAATTTAAAGTATGGTACATGTACAGGGTAAATGAATTGGTATGTAAAAGACAAGAAGCCTTAGAGGTACAATTTGAATACATGTATGTGGTGTTAAATGGAAATTAAGAGTGATTTTATACCCTCTTGGTTGTAGTTTTGTCTCTGATTTTGTAGATTTTATACATGGTGGGTAAGGGGACACTGAGGCCTGATCTCAGTAAGGCAAGGAAAGACACGCCCAAGAGGTTCAAGATCCTCATGCAGGACTGCTGTAAATATGACAGAGAACAGAGGCCATTATTTCCACAGGTACATGGAATTCATTTTGGATGTGAGAAAGTGAAAAATCCTTTAAAAGATTTGTCAGTGGTTATATGGTTAGCTTCTTAAAATGCTTTGTACTTCTTTTACATGTATATCTGCCTTAGCAGGGATTTATCAAGGCTGTTTTTACTACCGGTAAACGGTACCTTTCCACTCTTAAAAAAGGTGTAAAAATTCCCCCTTTTCAGATAGAAAATTCCGCTATTAAACAGAGAATATTTAAAACATCTTTTGTAAAGTTCCCATTTTTGTCCGATTGAAGTTCAACTGTATGTCCTAATTTACTGTCCTCATCACTCAAACACTTTTAAAGTAAGATCGAGAGTCAGACATATTTAAGCTTCTAATTGATATTGATCGGTAAACATGTGCCATGTCCATGATGTTGCACAACGCACTCTTAAATGAAAAGAATTAGAAAAAAAGATGCTGTCAGGATGCCAACAATTGAGAAGCTTTTCAAGGCTTCAGAAAAAAAAAAAGAAAAGAAAGATACGTAGAGTTAAAACTTAAAGAAAGTGAAGATGAGTCAGCAAGTCAGACGGAACATGAATCGGAAGAGTGGGGCAACAACAACAACGATGTTAGAAGTGAAACAAGAAAAACAGGAAAATTGATTTGTGATGAGGAATTCAGAGAGAAAATTAAATAAAGCACTGACCTGATTTTAACTTACTTTTGTTATTTCATATTTTGTCTAAAACATGTAGTTTTTTTCCCCTTGTTAAAGGTCTAGAAATGACCCTCAGAAGCTCTCAGAATGCAGGATTTTCCTCCATTTATTTAAAAAATTTCCTGGACCCCCTAGCAGATTCGCGCCTCTGGCGCCCAGCTTGAGTCTGCGGCTCTCATTTTTCTCCTTTGTATATGAAAAGGGAAGTAAAACAAAATAGCTAGATAAATCCCTGCTTAGGCTGATATACATACATATATATACCTGCTTGTCATTTGGTTTTGATTAATTTGATTAGCTTATGAAATTTTGAAAAAAAATTATTGAATGTGATTAGGATTGTTCTGTTGTATTTTTGGATGATAAGAAAATCTCATGTGATCTAATACCTCTCTTTCCAGATTTTGTCAGTGTTAGAAAGCTTGGAACGATCTCTCCCGAAGGTTCACAGGAGTGCATCAGAGCCAACGTTAAATCTGGCCCAATCCGAAGACTTTATGTATTTATGTGCTTCACCTAAAACTCCTATAAACAGCGGCATTCATTTTCTCTTCACGTCGACATCAGGAGGGGGACTAAACTAGTGGTAGGGGCTTAGGTCTGTGTTTTCTGGCCGAGGGAGAAAAGGGTCTCCGTTACGCTACAAGTTTGCACAGATGAAGCTCTCAACACGTGTGATAGCTTGCTTTTTTTTTTTAAAAAAAAAAAAAATCTTTCCTGATCAGCATTCTAAGTTGAGCTGACCAGCTTAAAGCTTAAAGCTCAGAACAGCAAGATTTTGTGCCAGTTTTTTCATTTTGTGATGTCATTATTTTGGCACAAGCTGGTAAAATGGCCATCTCCCTACGTGTAAATAAAATTCCAGTAATTCTGCTTATGAGAACTTCCCTTTCAGCTCTGCTCCACATTCACATTTTTGTTTCATTTTCAAAATGATTGTATATACCTTTGGGAATAATATGGATAAAAACATACATTTACAAATTCATCTATGAAAGTTGAATGGACATAAACATTTGAATCATTTTTCGCCAGGAAAAAAAGCATACTGCTTGCAAGTAAAATGATTGTGAATTTTAAGTGTGTGCAAGGTTTATTTCATCTTAAATTCTTGTTATGAATTGAAATCTTTCTCAAATAATTACCAAACTGAAGGTAACTGTTTGAATGGATACAAGTATAAATGAAAATATTACATTTTGCAAGTCGTTTTTTATTCCCAAGGTGATACACATTTTGATTTACTGCATATTCCCATGATTTTTTTTTTCAAATGTCAGCAATGTAGTATGATCTCTTTGCACCAGAGGCCATAAAATTCTCCCCGAGAAAAAGGTCGAGGAAAGACGCATTCATTAACTCTTGGTGAGACTTTTCATTCAAATAGATGAAAAAGAGGGGGAAGTATGATTCACCCAATTGTGATAATTCATAAGTGCACCTGACACTGTCGTTTTTTATTGTAAGAGATGTGAATATTAATGTCGTGAAATCCTGGGTGGTTTTCGCTAAAATGTGTGTGAACTTTTTTCGGATTTTTTGTTCCTTTACATTTGCAGCACTTAACTGTATGAAATAAAGGTATTCCTTTTGTTTCATGTGGCACTATGACACATTTTTTTTAAAATAAATTCAAACAAAACTGGACTGTTCTGCCATATGGAAAAAGTGAGGAGCCTGGAGTTCAATGAGCTAGGTAAAAATTAGCACAGGCTCACTTAGGAAATATGGCACCCACTGTGTAATGATTAATTTGTAAGAAAATTTTAAAAGCCGAGTTGAAACTTACACATTAACACAGTGACAAAGTCACAGGACGGCATGAATTTCTGTGTATATTCCATGAAGAGGAAGAACGTTCCAATATTTAGCATTTTTCTCCATCGGGAAAAATGCTGCTTTTTTTGTGCAATGAACATGTACAGATTGTTTTTCTTTCTACAGAAGATTCGGTGTACATCTGTGATTTATTTCTTTGTAATATGAAGCAAGGACGTTGTGCAATGACAGCTTCATTTTTTTCTTTTTTTTTCAGTCTTGAGATCACGTTTGTTATACCAAATTTTTTTTTTACAAAGCAGAATTCTACGACATTTACTAACTTGAAGGATAATAATTTTTTTTTTAAAATGATTTAATTCGTCAATTAACAGTAGTTAACAGTGTTTGGACAAAGGAAATAAAACTGATTATTATATGATTGAATAATTTCCATCTCTCTGATTGGCTGATATCCAACAATGTTAGAAAAATGCTACGTTATATTGACCTGCACGTGACCTTCCAGGTCAATATAAGGAATTATTTCCAGGTCAATATAAGGAATTATTTAATCTACATTGGACTAAAAATAGATAATCATATAATAAAACAGTTATTGCTGTTTTTTTTTTTAGGTCAATACGATGATTTAGATATCTGAGGAGTACAATATTCACCTCGCCCTTCGGGCTCGGTGAATATTGTACTCCTCAGATGTCTAAATCCTTGTATTGACCTCAAAAAAAAAACAGCAATAATTGTATAATATATTCCTGTCTAAAAAGCAAATTCTTATTACAAATAAATTTTTATTTCTTCTTTCTGATTTATTTATTACACAATGCATATTGATGTTATTGCACAAGTTCTTGTAATTGTCAATCCCTGGTAGTTTAGAATCACCTCTCTTAAGTGTTTGAACTATTCCTTGCTTGTGAGAAGGGGGTAACAGGATTGACCACACAAATATTCTAAATGAGATGCTATTATATTTATAAGAAATGATTTTTAATGGATGACTGTTGTGGAAGTATATACTTATTTATAAAGGAGAGAATGGGAGATGATGCCTGGATGTGCAATTTATTGATTAAAAAAAATAAATGAAGGATTAATTTTTTTTCTTCATTTTTTGCTACTGTTTGTAATTTATTTGTTACATGTGTGCAATTGATGGCTGATAGGAGATGAGGAGTATTCCAGTAAAGTCTTATCTCGATGTGATCCCACATTCATACTGTACATATCAAGTTTTACCAATAACACGTTGTTGTTGTCAATCTTTATCTATGTCTGAAAATGGAACTTTTTTCTTTTTTTGCCTTTTGATTTTTTTTTCTTATTTTTTACTCCACAGTTTTGCAAAGTTTGTCACAGCTTTATGTGATTCCTATTTTTTTTTTTGAGGGATAATATGCATTTATTTTTAAAACAGCTCGTTTACAAAATCATTTGGAAATTAAGATGAGAAATTGATGTACATTTTGCATATACATATACTCTCAGCAAAGTTAATATTATTTATTTGACCACAATTTACCAAATTTCAGCATTTCGTAATTTTATAATAAAATTGTTTTGTGAATTTAAAGATTTAAATGTAGTACGTGTTATGTCTTAGCAATATAATTAATATTCAGTTTTTAACCTGTACCTTCAATTCAAGATTCCTAAAATACTTAATATTAAGAATACATGCATATTGCACTAAATATTGATAAAATAATTCACTGTTGAAAGGCCACTAGTGTTTTTACATATTTACGTAGCTGAAGATTTATTTTGTTTCTTTGCATTTAAGGATATTTTGCCGTTTTGTTTTACTTTGTTAATCTTTTCATTAGAGATCTAGGAAATCTCATTTTTTTTTCTTCTTTAAATCTGCGAAAATTTTAACTGCCTGTTTGTAGAAACCTCACAAAATCTACTTGATACACATTTCTGCTTGTTTTTGCTCATCATGGTGTACATGGAGATTGGTTGAGAATGAGAGGAGTGGATCTCAGTGGGGTGTGACTGATTTGAATGGAGAATGTATTGGCTCTTGTGATGGTTCTTTGTAAATGCAAATATAAAGAAATTTCCTCTACATTGTTTGTGTTTCTTTACAATCAGGGCAGATTAGGTAAAAAAAAGAGGCCCATTGGCCACAAAGCTCACTTGAGATACTATGGCCTTTCTGTTCTTTATATGCAGATTTTCCCATACTTTTTAAGATCCCTACCTTTCCCCTAGATGTCATGATTTGAACAAAATTGAATCTACATGGCCTGATGATGCTTCCTTATAAATTTGACTATCCGTGGCTTTGCTGCATGTTCTTGGAAAGATTTTTAACAAGATGTTTCCTAAAAATTCTTGTGTAAAGCTTCGATCACTTTTTGTGCCCCCACCCGACCCCTAGAACAAAGAGACATAGCGCATTTGACAGGCATTTTCGCCTACTCTAGTAGTGATTTCTTAAAAAACCAAACTTTTGTCATACATTGCGTAGTCTTAGTTGATACATGTGGGTGAATTAAAAAAAAAAATGACCAAACGCATAATTATCAACCCACACTTAAAATACAAGCAATGAAAATAGATTTCTATGTCTCAGCATATGTCTTTAGATAGTGTCTAAATACCTGCCAAATATCTCGTTGTTATGCCCAAAAATGATGCTAAAATTGTCAGGAGTGCAACACCTTTTTGTGACATTTTGAAATTACAATATTTTTTGGAGATATGTGAAATAAATAATAATGGTTTATGTTGAAAATAAAGACTTTCCTGATAATATTCAAAGTATTGAGCTTTAAATGTGGACTGTAGTAACTTTTATTTAATCAAATTGTGGTCATGGCTGATGTTTTTAAAAACGTTATACCATGTCAGGAGTGCAACAGAAAAAATGTAGTGTTGCCCAAAAAAAAAAAAAAAAAAAAAAAAAAAAAACATCGAAAGAAAATTAAGACAAAAAAGAATTTTCGAAGTGGAAAACAATAACTGATATACATTTTAAAACATAAAAATGTTATATAAATCACAAGCAACATTAATGAGAACCAAGTTTATGTGCATACCCAATAATGTCAGGAGTGCAACATTTGATGTTTTGCTCCCAAGCATGAAAAAAAAACTATTATCATCATAAGATTTTCTGATTTTTATTTTGGTAAATAAAGACACAAAGAACATTTGTACAAAATAGATTAATCAATTACAGGATCTGTCTGTGCTTCAGATCTATATTTCTATGGTCAGGAGTGCAACGCATTTTTTTTTTTTAAAGATTCAAGTTGTGTGACGAAAACACTTCTATTCATGCTTAGAAGTATTTACAGATCCTGTAATTGTTTAATCTGTTCTTTGTGTCTTTATTTACCAAAATAAAAATCAGAGAATCTTATAATGATAATAGTTTTTTCATGCTTGGGAGCAAAGCATCAAATGTTGCACTCCTGACATTATTGGGTATGCACATAAACTTGGTTCTCATTAATGTTGCTTGTGATTTATATAACATTTTCAAGTTTTAAAATGTATATCAGTTATTGTTTTACACTTCGAAAATTCTTTTTTGTCTGAATTTTCTTTCAGAATTTTACAATTGATGTTTTTTCAACTTATTTTTTAGTAAAGAATTGTGGTCCCCCGCTTTCGGTGTCTTAGTGGATGGGATGCCATTATTTATGGCATATTGTAACTGTCTTGTTTGTGTGTCCTGTCTTGTCTGTGCATTATACAAAAGAGATATAAATTATTGAATTAATAATAGTTATGGCAAAGATTATAGCTTCTCAAAACTACATCAAACGTCAAGGTCATGAGATCAAATATTATAGTAAAATCCGAAAGGTCTTGCCACAAGTAATGCACATGTGAAAAAAATATCAAAAAAAAAAAAAAAAAAAAGACTATACAGTCGGAAAGGTCTTGAAACAGGTAATGCACATGTCAAATGTAAGTGCCATATCTTCTCTCAATCAAAATTTATTAGCAATGTTAATTTTTTTGAAAATTAGGTTAAACTTCAAGGTCAATGTCATGGGATTAAAAATCATTTGGAAATGCTTGTCACAGGTAATGCACTTGTCAAATATGAAGGCCCTAGCATGTCATTCAAAAGTAATCACCACAGTTATTTTTTTTTAAAAACTAGGTCAAACATAAAGATCATGCTCAAGGGATAAAAAAAAACATAGCATGCTCGAAAAAATCTTGTCACTGGTGATGCTCATGTCACATATTAAAGCCCTATCTATTCTCAGTGAAAAGTTACAAGCAAAGATAAAAATTTGAAAAGTAGGTCGAATTTCAAGATCAAGGTCATGGGTCAAAAAACATAGCATATCTGGACAGGTCTCCCCACTTGTAATATACATATTTAATATGAAATCCCTATCTTTTCTAATTCAAATTTTATTACCAATTTAAAGTAACATCAACATTTTTGAAAATTAGGTAAACTTCAAGATCAAGGGTAAAAATCATAGTTTATTTGGAAAGGTCTTATCACAGGTAATGTACATGTGAAATAGGAAAGCCCTATCTTTTCTCATTCAAAAGTTATGACCAAGGTTAAAGTTTTTGTGACAGACAGACTGACAGACGAATAAAGTTTAATGTCCCCTCGCTTTCGCGAAAGCGGGGGACAATAAATGCATATGCATTACCTTGACCCTGCTGGAATCTCTTAATATCTATTTCTTTAAGAAACCCATACTTTGTGAAGACCTCTTTTAATTTTAAGTTATATGCCATGACATATAAGTTTGAGGTATCTCCATATAGTCTACATTCAAATCGCTTCAAGTCATTTTCACCATTCAGGGCTAGGGCGAGGTCATAAATTAACCTTATAGCGCTCTGATTTGTAGAGGGTGTCCGTGTGCACAGTTACACTCTTAGATACTACACTTAGAAATGGTTATTTCAAAATCACGCCATTTTCCCTGTGTGCGAATCACACGGTGTCCTTTGATTTCTATCATACGGAACTTTGGAAGAATTAGAATTTCATTTTTACAATACATTGGGAAAAAAGGAAGAAAAAATATATTTTTTTTTTCATTCATTGTTGCAAGTATTTTAATTTTTTTTCATCAAGAGTAGGATAGATCTATCAATTATATTTCTAAATAATAATAATAATTCAATATTCTTTTTTGCATATTACTCCCGTATGGTCAAGCAATCCAATTATAATAAATACAAAGGAGGAAAACACTCGAGAACGAAGAATGTACATAAATTATACAATAGGAGTATGTAATTTACTTTAAAATTATACATCGACGTTGACCTTTCATATCTTTATACATGTTCTAACAGCTGATGTAACTTCAAGTGTTGGACTAAGTACATGTATATATTCAAGTTTCTGTAGGGGTGACTTGAAGTAAAATGAAGAACAATTATTCAACATAGTTTTTAATAGTATATTCCATGGTTGTATATTTAAATTACATTGTAAAAAGAAGTGAAATTCGTCGTCAATAGCATTACACAGAGTGCATAATCTTAATCAAGACCCCCCCCCCCCCAAAAAAAAAGGAAAATAGAAAAAGATAACTATTAAGTAGAAGAGAAATACATGTATTTTAAAATGTGAAAAGCTTGTCTTGCATTCTATATTCATGCAATCTTTTGATAGCTATGATTTATGTAACAATATTCCAGAAAATGTTGACTGATAGTAGTTTCCGATATAAGTACTACCGCCATACACATGCTCTGAGGAACCATAGAGTTGTATCCATACATGGTCATTTTTGCTGACGTTGATAATTACCATTGCTGAACTGGAGTCGTCACCGCCTGGATAAGGAACAAGGCTGGAAGCCCGGGCTGTGCCTCCAACCATTAGTTGAACACTAAACGAACTACCCGAAGTAGCGATTGTCCAGTGGAACAAGTACACACCGGTGACTGGAGCAATGAAGATACCATTTTCCGTATGGTAATGATTTCCAAGGTTGAAGTGGGTCTGTTCAAATCTAATGGTTACTTTAGTACTGATGCCGCTTTGGGATGATGATTTGTATGCAGAAAATAGTACAGGCTCTAAGTGGCTGAGAAGTACACCTGCTCCAAAAAATCCATAAAATTGTATCTTTTCACAGGTTTGAATGTATGAGTATGCGTCTATGGGTGTATGTTCATTAAAATGTTTGTGTTTCTGTGTGTATCTTATTAAAACATTGCTTAACATATAACTTATGTGTATGTCTTAATCTGTTAATTATCTATTTCTATCACTCATTCATCTAATAAGTTCTAATACTTTATGATTTTTACGTAAATCATAACAATCCAGCCAGATTAACAACCAAGGGACTCGGTATAAACAGTTTGCAAAAACCTGTTGTTACATTGTAAAATAATTATCGTAGTAATTTTTTTGAATTGTACTCTAATTGTCAGACATGGTGTGTGTGTGTGTGTGTGTTTCGTATTTGGTTTTTGCTGCTCTACATTTAAAAAGTAGGGACGCCATGCATTTTTTACTCCCCCCATTCGCCCCTCCCCCTCCCCCATATAAATACAAAATCGTGTCTTACCGGCTGATCTTAGAGCCAGAACATCCAGAGACCTAATATTGGCATTACTCCTTCCAGTCAGTAATTGTCCAAGTACGCGTTCTGTGACGTTCAGACGACTTTCTATTGTTTGCTCCAGATTGGACAGACGATCTTCTACACTGGTCAGATTGTAGCCTTTCATGAGAGTCGTCAGCTCTGTTGCAGACACCACAGCGCAGAGAAAATATCGCAAAAGCAACATTTTTAAACTTGGATTTCCGTCTTAGTTTCAAATCCCTTGTGTGTATTCTTGTTATTCTTTCCTTCGTTGAATGGGAATGTTGAGAATCTGTTATATATATACATGCAGATTGTTGGAAATTTAGCTCGCCTGACAGCAAATATTTATGACACCCCTAACGAAGTTTGGAGTAGGTGGCTCAAAAATAAAACTCAAATTATATAAGATATTTTCAATCATCATTTCATTGAAGCGCGCAACAATTCAATTAAATTCTTGAAATAATTAATGATAATCTTCAATTCTGCATTATTATGCGCATTAATTCAGTTGTAGATATCATAAATTAATTTCCATTATAATTAAATTGTTGCTCGCTTCATATGAATTATGATGGCGACAATGGAAATGATGCGCGCAATAATTCAAATTAGCTTCAAAATAATATAAAGTTCATCCGTCAATCCTATATCAATACCAGCATTGTTACCACATTCTACATTTTCTACTAGTCACTTCTTTCTTCGTCCTGAGAAAGAACGGCGAGGGCAGTTGAGAAATCATGTCTTCCAGCATAGTTGCGAAGATCTTTGACAAGCAAAAGGGGCAGTTTATATATTTGACATTTTAATTTCGGATGTCTTTACTATTCCTAGCAAAAACAGACGACACACACATATTTTCCTCACTTTATTAATATGGGTAGGGGGCATAAGCCCTCATCCCGGACCTTGTGACTACACGCTTATTGCAAAGTGTTACAAATACATACATGCACCATGATTTTAAAAAGGATTCAACTGAAATAAAATGTAAATATTAATTTTAATGCATTATTTCTATGTTGATGAAAATGTTCTCTTTTTATGCCTGCGGGCCATTTTCTTTGTCATTGACACAAGTAGTCTACATTCTTGTTTGCAATGTATGGCACGTAAACTAAAACTGACATTCCAATTGATAAAAGTAAAGAGCTTCCTTTACAGGCACTTCATTGTGCATCAATAATTAATTATTTCCTTATTGCATTTTTTTACGAAAAAAAACATGATTGCATAATGCGCTTCTTTTAAAGTGGAAAAATATATCTAAACTACGCTCGGCTAAATAGTTATACCAGAGAAAGGTAGCTATATTATAAACATAGTAGACCTCTAGTATTCGATGAAGATTCTGTTCTCTTAATGGCGAATAATGAAAAGCCATTCAGATGGCAATGTACGGCGCTCCACAACACGAGTATACATATGTATACAGATAAAATAGTGACCAAAATGACAGTAGAGACTCAACAAGACGAAGATAATAGTCGTCTAAAAACCATGGAAGGTCTACTTTTTACTTTACATTCTTTTCATTCAATATAATCAGAAATTCTTCATAAAAAAAGTCAGAGAAAGAAAAACAAGGATTCCGAGAAACATGACATGCCTGCAAAAAATATTTAAAATGATATTATGATTTTGAGAGAGAGAGAGAGAGAGAGAGAGAACTTATTTTTCATCTTTCATTAAAAATTGAAAAGGTCAATTTTTTGAGACATGCTTCTATCCTAGAACTGCATGGAATAAGATAAACCAGCTATCGTCACAAAGTCGTCATTACCCCATGAATGTATCTTGGCAATAAATAACGCTACAAATAAAATTCCCATCTATTGCTGTTAAAATATGCCCTTCCGCTCAATAATTATAGAAACAACCGAACTGCAAATCTAGGTGAAAAGTCAGTAAGCATACCAGTAGTACTAAAAGGAAAGACCATTAATATACCCAATATGAAAGTTCAACTTATTCTGGTTAAAAAATACAGGGCACACAAGGTCTGTCGATACAATACCTTTATTAAAGTCGTTAACTTGCTAGATATTAAAAATATTAAAGTCCGACCTCAGGAAATTTAATTTTTTTTTTGTAAATAGGCGAAGTCAAGTTCAAGATCAAAAAGTTCGTCAACTGATCACCCATGGAAGATCTCCTGAAACACTTGCTAAATGACAATTTCATATTTCATGGCTTTAGAAGAATATGTGAGGAACTTAAATTTGAAAGGTATGTCACTGTTAAGTTGAAATTTCCAAGATCCATATAACTTTTATTTTTCAAAAAAGACGTGAACAAGCATTTTACGTCTTAAAGTCATGGCCCCAACTTAATTCATGTGTAAAAGACTATAAAGGATATTGTGTGTTTGTCATTATGGAGTATTTTTGAAAAGTAACACGGAGGTCGAAAAACCAGTAACTCTGGGATTTTCTAAAGTATACGTGCGTCTATCTTTTTACGCCCAATACGGTCCAAAGGCTATAGGATGTTACAGGTAGACATGCGAACGCTTGGAAAAATAGTCCCTTATTGTCGCTCTGCTGAACTTCGTTTTAGCTAGAGAAGGCATGTAAAAAGTTTCTATCAGACATCCCTTTCATTAAATATCAATTAGTAATGAAATTTCGGGTAAAAATGATCTAGACAATTGCTTTATGATCACCACAGCCAATCAACAGAGTGAATTTTCGAAAGTACCATACGCTGTCGGATTGTCTCCATAAGCATTTTACAAGTCCAAATATTAATATGATATCATTTTCATATATATTGGACCGATGGGCTGTTGCATTAGGGCTTCAATCTAAAACATCAAAGACGCTGGTATGCTTTATGGGAAATATTTGAGCTGAACTGTATATATAATGATAATAGATGAAAATGAAATGGTTTCTATTGTCTGTATATACAATAAAACATTTTAGACAATTTGTATGCTTTATTGTCCAAGAAATATATATTTAGCGCATTACTCATTCATGAAGACCATGCACACAAGTACATACATACATACATATACATACATACATATATATATATATATATATATATATATATATATATATATATATATATATATATATATATATATATATATATATATATATATATATATATATATACATATATTATATTATATAATCACCCAACATAAAAATTTAAAGAAATTTGAAATTTAATGTTTTTACATCTATATCACGAGCTACAAACAATCAGTGCATCTTTTCATGATTTTAAAATTTCGAACTTCAGAAGGAGGTCGAAATAGACAGGAATCCACTTATGTTCTTCGTAAAAGGATTCCTGAAAATGTAGATTGGTAATTATTTCCGATAGAAAAACTGTCCCCGTAGACATACTCTGAAGAGCCATATAGTTGTATCCACACATGGTCATCTTCATTGACATTGATAATTACCATCGCTGAAGCGGAGTCTATCCCGCCTGGAAAGGGAATTAGATTGGAAGCCCTTGGTGAACCTCCAACCATCAGCTGAGTGGAAAAAGAGGAACCTGCAGTGGCGATGGTCCAGTGGAACAGGTAGACACCCGTCGCTGGAGCAATGAAGATACCATCCTCTGTGTGGTAGTGGTCCCCAAGGTTGATGTAGGTCTTGTCAAATCTGATAGTTACATGGGAACTAATGCCGTTTTCAGAAAAAGATTTATAGGCAGAAAATAGTACAGGTTCCGAGTTACTGCCCAGTAAACCTACGACACAAGAGAAGCCATTTGTAAAATAGTAAATTGGTGTTTGTTAAAAAGCAATTTCTTTGTCTTTTCGTCTATCTGTAAATTCAAAGCAGTTTAACCTCTATCTATCAAATCGAAATTGCAAAAAGAGTCTAGCGTTGCAGTTTTGTCTCTTGAATAATTTCACATTAACTTAACATTAACATTCAAAGTGCAACTGTAAAACTAACTAGGACTATAAAATGTACTTCTGAATTTTTTTTCTAATGAAGACTAAAGAATCGTAGCATACCAGATCTAAGAGAGAGAACATCCAGAAGTGATATATCAGCACCAGTTCTTCCTGTCAGTAATTGTCCCAAAACTTGCTCTGTAACATTCAGGCGACGGTCTATCGTTTTTTCCAAATTGGACAGGCGCTCCTCTAGACTTGTAATATTGCGGCCTTTTAGGAGAGTCGTTATCTCTGCTGAGGAGACTACTGCACAAACTAAAGATAAGACGAGTATCGTTTTCATATTGGACCTTCTCCTGGTATTTAGTTCCTCCGCTACAGTGAAAGTATATATATGAGAAGAGCTTTTATATATATATACAACATATACTTTTACATTTTAGCTCACCCGGATGTTTTATCTTTTCATAATTCCTCTGTGAAGGCCGAAAACACGCATATGCATATACCGGTTTAACATTGTGCTCATCGTGGGTTGGGTAGGTATTGATTTATATATTTCTTAAATATTAACCATCTTGCAGTCCTAAGGACAGGTAATGTATTCAAAACTGATGTTAAAAAGTAATTGTGTTTATAAGAACATTTTTTATCAACTAGAACTATTGACAACAACTGCTGAATGATATATATACATGTATATGGAAAACAAAATCTTCAGTCTTACTGCTGGTCAGGTAAGAAGTAAGAGAAGGGAAGGTCTTTATAACAGAAATATTTTCAGGGCTAATAATATTCCTTTCATAAGAATTGGGTTTTTAAAATCTTATGAAATTCTTTGCTGTGCCTAAATTCTATGAAATAAAAAAAAGTTCATTTTATGCATTAAATGGAACCCTTAACATACAAATAAATTATTGAAGAGGAAAAATAAATATACCTAACATAAAATTTCGATGAAAATTCCCCTTAACTAGTACTATTATCTTAAATTTATTAATATCATGTCCCCAAAGCCAGAGAAAGGCCACAATATAGGGGACATGTCTAAACAGAATGAGGAAAAGCTTATCCCAATGACAGAAAAACAATCAGTCAGAAAGTATTTGTAACTATGATGTAGAAAAAATTTAAAAATTGTTCAATTATGATCCCGAAGGATTTGAGTGGGGTCCTTAATATGGTGCAAAATTTTAAACAGGAACATATAGGACAATTTTTTCTTCTGAAGAACTGCATCTTATTTATTTGAATTAATACCCAAATATCCCTGTATTGTTTCCATTTAAAGGGGGAGGAAATAAGCACCGCCCTCAAATTTACCTGGTCTGTGAACCCCTGTCAATCAGATGAAATTAAGCCTGATATTGGATACTGAAAATTGATTGACACTTTATTACCAGCCTTTGTGTATATCTTGTATACCTTGGCTGGGGATCGTACCGATCATTGAACTAACATTCAGTCTTTTGATGCCTACCGCATAATTATATAATATCGGGATAAAGAAGGAGCCAGAGCTGATATTTTATTTTTACTTTATGATTAAGAAATGAGCTATATATATATATATATATATATATATATATATATATATATATATATATATATATATATATATATATATATATATATATATATATATATATATATATAATCAGTCTGTCAAGTAATCAAATAAATGAAAAGAAAAAATCAGTCATATCTATTTACATTGTAATTACGAGGGGGGGGGGGGGTCATTTCGAGATACAATCAATAATTCAGTATATTGTCCATCCAAATTTACACGTACATCGACTTTACTTAAGCAGAAAATACCGAACTTCATTGGAAGCATCATGTAATTTAATAAAATAATAATTCATTCTTTATAATCATGAGATAGTCATATTGTCCAAGTAAAAATTTATAAGACAAGTGTAAAATTTCTTCGAGACATGGTAATGAAAGTTACGGTAAAATGACCAGTTTTAAATAGAAATAGCAGTATTATAAAAACTGCCTTTGCATACACATGTTAAGTTTAGAATTAGTTTACGGATCCTGAAGAAAAAAAGCAGGAGAACGAATGATAAAATTCCCGATTCGTCAACCTGTCGAAGAAGCAACACCCTGATGCAATGACCATTTTTACAAAACATGCGTTATGGAAAAATCACGTAGAAATTATATTAAGAAATATTTATCTTATTTATCATATATTTTATACAATTTAGCCTTCAAACAGGATTTCTAAGTTTTAGAGACTTATTCTGGACCGCGCTTTTTTCTACTTTCGTTTTGCGAGTGAGACTTTTTCCCTCGGTGTCGCCAGTTTACAACCCAGGATTATAGAATATTTGAAATTTATTAACGCACAAAATAATACTAAAATTGTCTTCTTTATTCAATCATGTTTTGAAAAAAAGAATTGAACTATAGGAATCAATCTACAACAAAAATTTATCATGTTTTATTTCATAAATTTGACGATCAACATTTCGATTGACTAACACGCGAAGTTTTACCAAGTCATACGAAAACATTTACAGGTAATATACAGGTAACATCCTGTGTATATAGGTAGGTATACACAACCCAGCCTGGTTCCCTCGGGGCTTCACGGCCGCTTCAATTAAGCTCACACCAAACTTACCTGAGGAAAACCGACCGGTTGAAAACCTCGGCCTTTAAATGTGTACCAACTGTAGATTTAGGTATTACGTAGGAAGAAGAGACTAAGCTTCAAATATCGTTTTCTTAAGAAAAGAAAAAAAAATTAGACCTATGTAAAATATATAAGCATGTTCTTGCGGTATAGATTCAGGTTTATTCAATTCATGATCAATGGAAAAATCTTTAAGAATGAAGGAACTGCAAGAAAGGATCCCTGTGTTTAGAGAAAGATGACGCGAAATATGAGGCGAGCATCCTGGCCCACCTGGTTAATAAATGAAAATAAATCATTCTCTTACATAAGTAGATACAAAGAACTAGAAATTAATAATTGTCACAGAGACAAGACCCTTTTTCTAATTAGTGGGCGGTTACATATTGACCAGTTGAAGGTTTAATGAACTTACAGAAAATGACATTTCTCAGGTGACATTTTTTATGTTTGTATATATAATTTTTTTTAAATTGACATGATATGGTCAGAAACAACTACACAGGAGATATATAATTCTGTAAGTAAAACGCTGTTATTTTGTAAGAAATAAAAGAAATACTATCAAATGTTTCATTGTTGATTTCATTTCTAGAGATAAACAAGTACTCAGTGGAAACATGTTGCCTCTTCGATAATCACGTAAAGTAGTTACTCTAGAGGCTCATTAAGTCAGTACTTATATCTTTAAAACAATAAATAAAAACTCAGTAAATTCAACAAGTTCCTAGTTTTCTACTTTACAATGGATGTGCCATTTGAAATCTCTTCCTTCTGTGCACTAAATGAACACATTCATCTCAGATTTAAAACACATTTTTCCCTTTCATTTTAGGAAAATTGAATTCAAAGTCATTAAACAGATCACAGAATACATATTCATTTATTAATTTTTACCTTGTTGGTGACCTATTATCAATATTGTCTTCCCTCACTTGTATATTTCCAAGTGATCTCGTCCGTTGTTTGTAACCCTGATATGAACATATTTTACATGCTGATGACCATTTAGCTTAATATGTAAAACTTCACATATTCACTTTATCCTTGACATCTCATAAAAATCTAGTAGTCTCAAATTTTGGTATTGTTTATTGTTGATTGTTCATATACGGATGGTAGCATTATTTAAAGGTTATCGGTCCTTTCTCAAAAATCAGCTGTAGTGACCCTCTCCTACTTTTTTCCTTGCAATGAAGTTAATGTATTGGTAAGTAATTCAGAAGTCCACCAATATGATTTGTAGGAGATTAGATGTATTTTAGATAAATAGATATCTGTTACTCAGGAGTCTCTAGTGAGACTGTACCTTTACTGCTGTGTATTTATAAAAAAGGAACAGAATAAAGCAACTGAACCTGTAACATTTTCTTGAAGCATACAATTTCATAATTATGCATTCTGCTGTTTTCTAAACTTTGTACCAAGATTCATTGCAATCAAATCAAACAATTGAAGGAGTCGAATTTTGCAATTTTAATATGTTTGAAATTAAGAGTTACATATATAACTGACAAAGAAGGTGCGTGAACAAGGCGGGCGAAATGCCTATGGTGCGATGAAGAAGAAGGTTAAAAATCAAATCTCCATAATAACAATTTTTTTGATATTTCATCTAACATTAAAGTATACTTCATGTAAAATCTGCAAGATTTGCAGAAATCTCACAAAGATTGAAAGTGCATTAGTGTAAATGTATTACTGCTAAAGATGTGCTTAACCAAGCTGTCTCTGTTACAGGAACCCTGTTTGCTTTGTTTTGTATTGGGTATTCAGGCGCGTAGCCAGCATGGAAATAAAGTGTACGCAGAGAACGGAAGGGGGGCGGGGGGTCCAACTTTCAGAAATCAAAATGTTATTAATACATTACCAAATTGCCATGATTTAACTATACTACAACAAAAGGGGGGACCACCCTTAGCTTTCAATAAACATTTTCAATAGTAATAGGTTAGGTATGGAAATAAGTGGGAGCAGGCCACCCCCCTGCCCCCCTATACTACGTGCCTGCTGGTGAGGGCCCAGAAGCTCCGAGTTTTACCAAATATTTCATTCATTTTCTTGCAAAATATAAATATTGTCAATTAGCTTTTGTTTAGAAAATAAAAGACATTATATTAATATTTATTGTTTTAACGCAAAGTTAATACTTCCTTGGAATCTTATTGCATAGGCGTAGGGGGGGGGGGCTAGGGGGGCTTAGCCCCCCCCCCCCAACTTTTTTTTCAAAGAAAAAATATAGGCATTGAAACCTGGGGCTTACCTTTTTCCGTTGGTTTAGCCCCCCCCCCCCCACACTTTCAATTTGCTTCCGACGCCTATGTATTGTACATGTAGTTTAAACTAAATATTTAACCGACATATTGGTATCATATACTCTTTTTTAACGTTCAAAAACACGTAAACTAAAAGTTCATTATATATCAACAAAAATATCGTAATATAAATCATATACTAGTAGATTATAGCATTCAACAATGTGTTTGAAATTTAAATTCTAAAAGATCTTTTAAAAAAATTATCAGTGTATTAAAGAACAATTAAAAATTAATGGATGATTTATTTGGATTTGGCAATGATTCAATAAAGGATTTCAAATTTTATTATATAAATGTGATAAAATTCAAATCAAAACAGTATGACACAAACACGGATATTTGTTAGATGGTACAGAACGGAGATTTTTTTTCTTCGAATACTCCCCCCCCCC